TGGAATGGGAAAAAAGCAGACTTTTGGAAATATTTTAAAAGGTTTTCAATCAATTGGGTTTACAGAAATTAAATCGGCTCAAAAATAATACGATTTTTTACCCAATTAAAGTAAAGAATTTTCGCTTTTTTATTGGTAACTTGTAAGAGGTTTAGCCGCTTTCGTCACCACTCACCGAACCCCCTTTTCGGCCTACGTTTTCCCCCCAAGACAAAGGCTGCCCCTGCTAAATTGCAAGCTCAACAGGCCCAGTCGTAACTCAAAACTGGGAAGATGCCACAAAATACCGGGGATCGGTTGGTCCCACATGGAATATGGATCGCTGGTCAGTGGCCCTGAATCGAGGCGACCTGCTACCTGTTGCACCGGCAGCTACCGCGAGCAACTGGCAATGAATTATTTTAATGACGAGAGGAGAGAAGCCCCTTTGCCTCAGACGATCCTGGGCATGCGTAAGAAGATACGCCGCCATATCCAGATCCAGTCAGCCCGGCGAGGCGGAACCAGTTTCCAGTCGCCCGTTTCACTTCTCAGATCATCAGGCGGCCATTGAGAGTTGCGCTTGCAAGCCGAAATTACCGAAATAAAAAGAAAACATACCATATATATTAAAAAGGGAGAGAAAAAAGTACCAAAACTGTGCGTGCGGCTTAAGCCCCTTTCGTTAAGCGGATTTTATCGGCGATCTGGCTGAAATTTCACCAGAGGTGCCCTTTTTTTTTGGCCACAATTACGCCAGGGCATTGCAATTTGGGAGGCTGTACGCGCCACGAATTCCGCGATCCGAATCGAATCGAAACGATCCCAATTCCTCGTGCGAAGAACCGGCACTTGGCACATCATTTTTTCGGTTTTTGATCAAGAGGCCCAGGGAAAATCTCAATTACCAGCGCCTAGTTGCAAATGCAGATTTGTTTCTGATTCTCCCCGCCTTCGAAAAGCAATTAAAAACTCTGATTGCCTTGTGAGTTGGAATTCGGTATTTGGAATACGGAATACGGGACTCGGGAAAAATGGAAAATTCAATTCCTGGCTGCGACAACCATAAGATACTCGGCCAAGTTGGGGGTGCACACACCCTAAACGTGTATCTCAAAATTTGATAACCGCACCGGCAGCTGCAGTTGCAAGTAGCAAGCAGCAAGTTGCAGGTTGCAGATACTTGGATTGCGTTCGTGTTTGTGCTGGCAATTGCAACTCAATTGCGCATTTGCCACCGCAAGCATCAATATGTGGCATAGGCATAGGCACAGTCGTCGTAGTCCCAGTCATAGCCATGGGGATATAGGGGCCATAATCACGTCTGAGCACAGAGAGACATCCAAGAAGGCCACGCCCCCTCCTGCTCGTACTCCCTGCGGCCAATTTAATTGACAGATTTAGTGGTGCTCGATTGGCAGTGCGGAAAATTAGTTTTCCGTCTCGCAGTCAACCTCAACCGGAGCTGAGTCGCATTTAATTGTTTTATAGACACTCGAATTCGAATCTCGGGAGGGGGGCATAGCCCACCTATATATATATACGGCTATATATCTTTATATATCCAGCAGATGTCGGTGGGTGTGTGTACATCATATACGGAAGGTGAAACACGCCCCTGACAAACACGCACGAAAATAGATTTAATTAAATTGCGAATAAAATGCGTATGGCTTGGTATGGGACACACATGCCATCCAACTAATCGATGGCCAATCGATTTCTCTTCTCGCTTTTTGGCAGCTTTCCCCCGTCCAAAAAGGGTTCCTTCCGCGTGTCCTTTGGGCTTGGGTTTCTGGGAAGAAATAAAGGCAATTAATTTCCGGTTGGGCCTGAGATGTTATAAATGGCAGCCGAAAGTTTTATTTCTTGTACAATTCCACGTAATCTAAGTATTGTATCTGGGAGATACATACAATACATACCAGGAATGTGCCCATCCGAATTCCAGCTTATCAGCTCCCCAATTTCTCTGGTAAAAGTAGAAATCTCATCTCAGATAGCACGTGACGAGGACAAAAACAAAACATAAATTAGAAAGAGTGAAAGATAAGGCCGAAGAACAAAATCGAATTAAATATAAGTAGTGTGTATATGTGCTACACATAGCCCCGCATCTGTGTATATAAATAGTTATAATAGAAGCATAGATCACACGATGTGCCGCATGCAACATGGAGTCGGCGTCACCTGGAGATTTATGGCCGCCAGCAACGCTCTGAATCCGGGGGTGAGTCACTCCCCTAAGACGGAGCGAGACGGGCATACAGATATCGCTCCGTTTCGGTTCAAAGTTCGCTGCAAATGGGAAACACGTAAACTGTCAAAACTTTAAATCCCTGAGGAATTTAAGTTAAAAAATATAACACGTACTGGGGACCCAGGCGCAGCTGTGCTACCCAAAAAAAAGAGAGAAGCGAGCAGGAGAAAAAACAAGAAGACGGAGTCGACAAAACCTTGAAAATGTATCTTCAGGGCGGCCGAAGGAAAACCATGGAAAGGCCCCATGGAAAACCAACTGGAACAGAATAAATATTCGGAAAAAAAGATTTCCTAGACTCACACCCCCAGTCCACCTCCGTTTCTTCCTCGTTTAAATTATCTACGAGAAATTTCGCGCCTTGCCATACAAAGTTTTATTGTGCCACCTCCACCTCCATTTCCACCGCCCCCTCAGCCCTCACATACCAGCATTTAAATTATGTACTTAGAAATACACAAAAATTTTCCAAAAGTCTACAAAAGAAAATGGCACAGCACAGCAGGACGCAGATGAAGAAGAAGCAAAGAAGCGAGCCAGCAAAATGAATTTCGCACTTTTTCGCATAATAAATTCCGAAACTTGGCCAGAACTGGAAAAAATCTAAGCGGCAGAGGAAAGTCGACGGGGGGAAAAAAATCGAGGCAAAGCAAAGTTTCGTAAAAAGTTTATTTTTGCATATACCAAGCTGACTGGGAAAGGGATTTTTCTTCTCTTCTTTTTTGGTGGGAAGGGAGTTACGATAAAATAGTCGGTCGCCGAGTGACAAATTCCATTTAAAATTGCCGAGCAAAGCTCACGCACTCCTCAAGTCGAGTCTTCCAGTGCCATTCCTTTCGCAAGTCCTAAATAAAATGAAACTTTTGCTAAACCTCAGCGTGATGTATTCCAGGCAAAGGAGCTGGCACGACTGCCGGGGATTTAAGTTAATCAGCAAACAGGTTTAGAGCTAAATAAATTTATTTATGCCTTTTACGCTGCTTGTTTGGCTCTGAATCGAGCGGAGTGTACTCGAAATGTACAAGGGAATTCTGCGAGGGGAGAATCTTTGTTTAATTGAAATTCCTATAGCAGTTTAAATCAGTAATCTCCACGAAAAGTAAACAAAATCATAGTAAAAATATACAGATCTCTTATTTCTCGGTCTTATTTCTGCAGCCTTTGTGGAATTAAAAGTATATATTCGACAAATTGCCATAAACTGACGCATCGCAAATCTTGTGACCTGTCACTGACCAATTTTCTCGCACATTAAATGGGTCTTTATAATTCTTGCAAGGCATTTTAAAAATAAAATAAAGCCGCATTAAGCCAATTTATTTGCCTGTATGCAAGAGATGATAATTTCTTTGTTTGCATCCTGGCCATTTTATTTCCATATCATTTTTATTGTCTATAAAATTTTTTCGCCATTTATTTCCACCACCCACATACAATTGCACTCGCAACGTAATAAACGTGTGCCGGCAAAATGCTTGTGTATGAGTGAAAGATAAATGCGTTTTCACTTTATGACTTTCGTGTCGGCATAAATTTGTTAATACCTTTAGGCCAAATTTATAACATAATAAATGCTCATAATATTTAAGTTAACATTGTGCCCAGGCCCAGGAGAAAGACCTGGTTGGTGTCCAAAATGCGAAAGTTGGGTGGATTGTGGATGTGGGGATGGGGATGGGGGATTTCGATAAAATCAGACAATGTCTGGTCCTCTTCTTCGACGGGAGATGGGCGAGAGACAGCTGCAGTGCATTTGCACACACGAAATTGAGTTATTGCACTTGAAGGCAAATTAAACTTCATAAATATTTAAAATCAGAGATTAAACACGGCATTGTGCTGCCCTGTTGATGCGACTTCTGGCTCTCCAGCTCCCCTGGCCCCTCTGGATCCCCCTGCCCATCTCATTTGGACTCTCAGGTTGCCAATTAAACGGGCATTATCTGGCATAACTGCAATTTAAGTAGCCACATTCGCCATCACATCTCCCCAGTGCCGAGTGCTCGCACGTTTCTCCTTTTCATTTTAATGTGGCTGGCTGGTAGGATGACTGGATGTGGCAGCATTTCGATGCGGTTGCAATGACAGCACGGCAGCAACATCGGCGGTGCAGCGGCAAACGATCAATTTAAAGTAACGATCTCGCGATCCCGCAGAAACAAAAACCACAACTGCAAATGGCGAAACTCGTAAAAATGAAATGTATTTTTTCTTTCCATGATCTCCTTTCCTTGTAGCCCCCCTCTTAAGCAATTCCGGCCTACGTTCAAGCTGCTTGATGATCGCTGGCAAAAAGGAGAATTTATATTTACGACTTGGCCAAACAACGGCGAACAGCAAACAAATGTTGAGCAGCTTGTTGCAATTTTTCAATTTAATTTGCCCGATGAAAGGCCAAATATAAATAGCCGTACATTTTGTCAATGTTTTGAACTGCAAAAAAATTTTATTTTGAATTCATAAACCAATCAAAATGGAAATCGTTTTAAAGCACAGAATAAATTGCTGAAACATGCTCTTAAAAATTCCTAAGTTGCAATTTTTAAAATTAATTAGTCTGGTAAAAGGAAAAATATAAATAAATACAGAATCAAACACTTTGTCAATGTTTTTTCACCCAATCTAAAATTTAGTTTGGACCTGATTTGAAGATTTTATTTATTTATAATTAATCTGTAATTTCAGGTCCATATTGAAATAAAAATATTTTCTAAAATATAATTTGATAAATTTCTAACTCCAATTTTTCTCTATTCTACAGGTACAAATGGTCTGCGAAGACGCGGCCGACAGACATACACCCGCTACCAGACGCTCGAGCTGGAGAAGGAGTTCCACACGAATCACTATCTGACCCGCAGACGGAGAATCGAGATGGCGCACGCGCTCTGCCTGACGGAGCGGCAGATCAAGATCTGGTTCCAGAACCGGCGGATGAAGCTGAAGAAGGAGATCCAGGCGATCAAGGAGCTGAACGAGCAGGAGAAGCAGGCGCAGGCCCAGAAGGCGGCGGCGGCAGCGGCTGCGGCGGCGGCGGTCCAAGGAGGACATTTAGATCAGTAGATGGTCTATAGATCTGTAGGGAAGAATTAGGCGGAATGGCGCAGAGACAGATACAAAGCAACTATATTGTAAACAAATGAACTATTTACTTAAATGAATAATATTTAAATATTTTGATGGTACTTGTGCGAATACGAAACTTAACCTAAATCGAACCTAATGGAATTATTTCAAGCGTTTGAGCAGCAACCGAAAATACGTAAATGAAACAAAACTACAAACTAATTAACTAGGCTAAGTAAATAAAAGTAGTGGAAAGAGCGCAGATTATAAACCTACTTAGAATTAAACGAGGAAAAAAAGAAAGTTTAATTTAGTTCCAAACGAAAAAAATTAACAAAAATTCGCAAACGTAAGATTTATTTTTACCACATGTAGAGAGACCACTCGAAATTAAAACCTCTGTCCTGCCCCTTTGTTGCTTACTGCTATGTTTAAATTAATTTTCGCGAAAAATACTCAAAAATTAAAAAAAAAACACACAAAATAAAATGTTGAGCGCGAGCAAAATTCTGTTGATATGAATTTTTGGTAAAAACCAGTTCTAAACCAATTTAAGATACGTGACAAAGGAAACGAAAAACAAAAGAAAACTATTAAACTTTAACTTGAATATAAATAGAATTTGTTAGCCAAGTAAACATATTGCGAAACGAAAAACCAACGTTTTTGGGAGGATCGAATATTTGAATGTGTATAGTTTGTGCTTATTAAATAAAATAATGCAATTTTAGTTAACTCTGTTTATTTTTAAACGAATTTGTTTAGTTCTCGCCCAAACGACTAGAGTGAAGCTGTTTCTTTAAGTAATGTGTAGTGTGTTTACCTTTTAAATTAAATTAATGCCTAATTTTATTATTATTATGTTTAGTTTAATGACAAGCGTTTATGAGATTATCCAACAGAAGCGGCGAGAAGAGTACGACAAACCGTTTGCCCCGGCAAACGCAAATAAATTATTGGTTTTGAAAAAATCTGAAAAAAAACAATGAGAAAACGAATTCGATTGTTGTGTTATTATTTTAGTTTTGCCATTGCGATTTTCTGTTCTGTTCTCCCAGTGTAATTAGAGCCTGAGTTGTTTGAGAGTTTGCGGGCTGCCCGCTTGCATGCGAAATTGCTTTTGATCTCGTTCCGTTAAATGATCGTGAGTTGTACGCTCTATAGAGATACCCATATACCGATAACTTAACGTTTACGATACCGATACCATATATAGTTTAGTGGATCCCAACGAGCTGTGCTCGAATCAAGAAGCCACAAGGCGAAACTTGGTCCTTCAGTTGAGTTTCCGAACTTGTCCCAGTTGGGGGATCCAACGATTGCCCTGCACAAGATGTATACGTAACTAGAGCCTAAGATTCGATTATAGATATATTATATATATATAAATCTTGATATATATTTATGTATTTATATGGATCGAGTATAAAAAGGACAAACAATAAGAGAGAAATATCTGCGGAACGGAACGGAGGCAGATGCAAATACGTAAATAAGAATAAGTTAAATGTTATAGATTTTAAACGCGAACCGAAATACGTTACTGTATACATACACTGAACGAAAAAGTGGCGAATGAGAGGCGTGGATCGATTGGGGTATTCCCCGCCACCGCAAACCAAGAATAGACGCTAAAATACAATACTTGAATATTTAAATGTGGATTATCGTAGCAACAGATATACGTAAAAAAGAGACCGATTCGGAGGGGTCTTGCATATAGTACTGCATCCTACCATTTACCTACTACTCACTTAAGTAATACCAGTGCATTCGTAGTAATAATAATCGCTACTTACGTGTACATTGCTAGTGGCTTTTACTTTAAAGTTTAAACTCTCCGACCCTCGGACAGGCGGGCCGAGCAGCCTATCCAGATCGAGATAACTACTTTTCCTAAATAACGATCAGATCAGTCCTACAAATACTTTGCAGCTACATTTTCTACTCGTACTTTCCCCTCCCCGCGATCGCCGATTGGACCCGCAAGCTCCGTTTATACTTAATCTATTTAACTCTAATTTAAAGCCATTCTATGTTAGCTCCGTAAGTTGTAAATTATCAATATGAACTATACGTAAAAGAAAAACACAAAACAAACAGCAACCAGTGAGAATGTGGAAAATGAAACAAATAAATTAAACAAAACGATTTAAACAATTTATGAATTGCCTTTGTATTTTTATTGGCAAGTAATGGGTCCCCTCCAGTAGTCCTGGAATTACGGGAAATTGGATAAAAAATTCTTGATTCTACATCCAAAATGGTATGACGAAATATTTTACCGGGTCGATGCTTGAAGGATGCTGACAATGCAATACAAATTTTAGAAAAGGGCGCTCAAGAATAGTCATCTACTTTATGCACTTTGTTTTTTATCTACCCACCACTTAATTTTTTACATTGTACACTAATACACAGTATATTTACACGATTTCTACTTACATTTTACAACTTGATTTTACTTTGTAAACAAGGGCAACAGTATATTTACACGAGTTCTACTTCAACATTACATACAGAATGTAGATAATAGGTATATGGTAAGTAACAGATTGTAGATACCAGGTATAAGGTTAAGAACACGACTATCTTTCAGGTCAGATAGTATAAGTATAATTAATTCGGAACGCACTTGATGGGAAAACTATATCCTACAGCTTTCATAGAAATGATCGAAAAATAAAGAAAATAAAATTATAGTTTCGGTGTTTACCAACAATAAGTCATATTAAACAAATTCATTTTTTGTAGCTAAATTTTAAACTTAAAATTACACCGATTTTTTTATGTCCAAAACAAGTACTTGACAAAATGGATTAAACTAAAAATATAAAATTCAATATTCACTATTTAATCGTCCGCTATTATAAAAGACAAGACGCACAAGACTCTTAGCACTGAAATCGATTTGATCAGTGCTCTTAAAACGTGTTTTGTGATTGTTATTATAAGATCCAGCTTAAAAATACTTCAGCTCAGTTCCCTTTGTGAGCTCGGTCGGAATCGTTATTAGCTCGGCCGCACGTGCTTTCCAAGCGACTTTTATCAGTACGCACTTTATTTAGCCTTACCTATGTGAGTGTTTTTAGCTCCCAAGTGCATTAGTAGTGCATCCGATAAATAAACTGTAACGCAGAGATTATGCATCTGAAATCGGTTTTATCAAATCTATTGCTTCTTTGCGCGTTCTCATTGAGGCTCAGAACAAGTGAGTAAAGTTCAAAATGATAATACGAATCGAAAATAAACATTTTCGTACATATATGCGAGCTTTGGTTGTATACATACTGTCATGTACAAACGGTTTTACAAATCGAAGTTGCTCTCAGAGAGTGATTCTCAAAACAAGATTCAAGCCGGTTCATCTTGAAGTCGCGCGTTGCATTCCCATCAGTCATCTGTTTATCTCTGAATTTTCGTTTGTTAATATGTGCTCTCTAAGTTTAAATTGAGAGCGACTGTTTACGGAAATAAATAATATAAAAGCGTGCTATTCTAGTTAAGTGCCGGCAGTTTTCACATCAGATTTAATTCACCTAGGAAATATTACTATTCAGTAAATATGCAATCTAATAAAAACCCCCTTAAGAAATAATGGATTAATAATGAATCAATATTACTAAAGAAACACTGTATATGACATAGAGAATATTTAGTTAAAGTTGCCAATATTTAAATCAAAAGCACCACTCCAATTACTTTGTCTATATAATCTTTGTATAATTGGTAAATGATTTAATATCTTTTGGAAAATAAAATGGCATTGTGGCGAACCTTATTGCAGTATTTGCGGCATGTGACAGTTTGGAGTTCGAGTGTGATAACGGCAGCTGCATTTCGCAGTTTAATGTCTGCAATGGCGAAAAGAATTGTCCGGATGGATCCGATGAAACGGCCTTGACTTGTGTTTCCCAGCGACAGCACTGCTCCAAACCCTATTTCCAGTGCACGTATGGAGCGTGTGTGATCGGGACAGCGGGCTGCAATTCACAGAAGGAGTGTGCCGATGGCTCCGACGAAACGCTGTTGCGTTGCGGCAACGAAGATGATATACGCCAGTACGATCGACGTCTTCAGGGCAATTGCCAGTAAGTATTATAAAGGGTTATTTAATATACCTTTTTTTTATACCCTAATTTAAATTTTTTTTAGGGATAATGAGTTCAAGTGCCCCTCTGGAATTTGCCTGGACAAGGGCAATTTTCTGTGCGACGGCAAGGACGACTGTGCGGATGGAACGGGCTTCGATGAATCCGTGGAACTGTGCGGTCATATGGAATGTCCGGCGTACTCCTTCAAGTGCGGAACTGGTGGCTGCATTTCGGGCTCGTTGTCCTGCAACGGGGAGAACGACTGCTATGATGGCTCCGATGAGGCTCCTTTGCTGTGCAACACGACCAGGAAGGTCACAACACCCTCGCCCGTTGAGACGCCGCTGGAGCTGGTTGGATGCCCTCTGCCTATAGGCGAGGAAAGACCCATCTTGACTGGTGATGGAAACCGTCTGATAACTGGAGCCGTCACCCGCGGAACTGTGCGCTTCTCCTGCCAGAAGGGTTTTGTGTTGGAAGGTGAGGAGACCAGCTACTGTGCCACGAGGAAGTGGAGTACTTCCACGATCCCCAAATGCGTGAGTAAGTAACTTTGTTCAGGGTTGTTGGAAAGGGAAAGTTTATCACATGTTCTCTATTTTACTAGAATACTGCAGCACCTCCGGCGAATTCGATGGCTACTCCACCAAGGCCTTGTGCACCCACAATGGACAGCAGGTGGACTGCCGCAAACCCTTCCATCCACCCGGAACGGAAGTCAAGTTTGTCTGCTCCACGGGATTCAAGACCCTAAGCAGTCTGCCGGAAATGAGGTGCATGAAGGGTGGCTACTGGAACAGAGGTCGTCAGCGATGCGAACAGGATTGCGGTCAGATAGCCACGCCCACCAAGAGCTTCTCTGCCAACGGATATACCATCAACAACACGGTTGTGCCCTGGCATGTGGGCCTGTAAGTCTTTTATATATATCTACTCAAAACTTTGGATTAAAATTCCCTTTTTGTAGATATGTGTGGCACAACGAGAAGGACTACCATTTCCAGTGCGGGGGATCGCTGCTCACCCCGGATCTCGTCATAACCGCCGCCCATTGCGTATACGACGAGGGCACCCGGCTGCCCTATAGCTACGATACATTCCGGGTGATCGGGGCCAAGTTCTATCGCAACTACGGGGAGACCACGCCGGATGACAAGCGGCGGGATGTGAGACTCATCGAAATACCACCGTAAGTTGTCAGAAAATGTAATAAAGTTTATATTAATCCTTGTTTTATTATCATTATACAGTGACTATAAGGGCAGGACAGATAACTATTTCCAGGATCTGGCCCTGCTGACCCTCGACGAGCCCTTCGAGCTGAGCCACGTGATCCGGCCCATTTGCGTCTATTTCGCCACCTTTGCGGAGAAGGAGAGCGTGACGAATGGGACGCAGGGAAAATTCGCTGGCTGGAGCATCGAGAATAAACACGAGCTGCAATTTGTGCCCGCTGTTTCCAAGTCCAACTCCGATTGCCGCCAGAATCTGGGGGACATTCAGGCGGACAAGTTCTGCATCTTCACGCAGGGCAAATCGCTGGCCTGCCAGGGCGACAGTGGCGGCGGATTTACCGCCGAGCTGAAGACCAACACCTTCTCCTCCCGTAGTGCCGCTCGCTATTTCCTCTGGGGGGTAATCAGCAATGCGCCCAATGCAGATCAGTGTGCCCACAGTCTCACTGTAATGACCAATATCCAGTACTTCGAGGACATGATCCGAAATGCGATCAACAGAAGCGTGGAGACCAGGTCCTGAGTCCTGTATCAAATTTAGCTCCCTTGCGATTATAATAGATTTATAGGCAGAGATTCGGCGGCCATATTTTTTTGTTCCCCAGCCAATGCTAGTTTAAGATATAAGAAAAATAATAAAACAAATAAAACTAGTCCCAAAAAGGTCAGACTTTCACATTGTAAGTGATATAACCTAATTCTTTACAACGTATACTTACATCCAGAAATTCAAATACTTATACAACTAACTAAATCCAACCTTATAAATCTTTCATTCCTTTATTAAGGAAATATATTTTATTGAAGACATATCGGTTAAGCATATACTCTTAAGAACCATGGAATTCGGTTACAAATCAATTTTAAATTTATTTATTCTTAATTTTTAGTCTTGGCCGATTCTCGAATGTTGAATTTGGGAACGCGATCTTTCCGGGCCAGTATTTTGTTGGAGTTATCCTCGATATTAATGGCGCTGATGATCAGATTGACCCTACGTTCAATAACGCCAATGAAAAGCTTCACATTGTGTACTGTCAAAAAGGTCTTGGTACTGAGTACATTTAGGATGGGAGCATCATCACAGGCCAATTGTCTGCAAAGATATTGTCTGTGAGTAAATGGGGAAGGAAAATCTGTAAAGATCGCACCTAAATATATCCTCGATGCCCTTGAGAAGCTGTTCCAGTCGGATGCTCAAAGTGCGCTTCTTTTCCCTGGTCTCCACCGCCAGTTGCTCAATTCTCTCCTTTTCGGCATTCAGATAATCCAGGGCCTCAGTCTTAAGCTTCAACTCCTTTTCGGTCTGCTCCGATTTCTGACGTTCTGTAATTTGGTATTACATGGTAAAAGTTTTTTAAGAATCTTTGATAAAACATATGTAATCCCACCTATTTCATCCTGTAGTTCCTGAGTGGAGTCGTTCAAGACCTCCACCTCGTGACTTAGTTCATTGACATAATTGAAGAGGGCAAAGTTCTCGTCCTCCTGCCTCTTGAATTGGGCCACCAGTCGCTCCGCATCCTCCTCGCCGTAGAGCAACTTGATCTTCTCGATAATCTCCTTGTATTCGAGCAACTGCCTCTCATAGTTCTCCTTCTGGCTCTGCTTCTTGTCCAGTTCACGTTGCTCCAACTCCGGGTTAAGTCGCTTCTGTCCCTTAATGTCAAAGAACTTCTGCAACTTGGCATCGTGCTCCAAGCGGCGTTGCATCTCCCGCATCTCCTGGATATGCATAACCTTGTCGTTTTCGTTCCGATCCTTCAGCACTGATAGTTTGTTGCACAGCTCTTCCCGCTGGTCGAAGGCCAGAGTAGACTGATCTATTAAATCCATGATGAATTTCTTGCCCTCGTTGAACTGAGTGACCATCGACTGCCACATGTCGTTGAAGTTAGCCCTGTAGAGTTTAAAATAAATGGAAAATCGTTAACTCATTATTTATTAAATTATGAGAAAAGTAAAAAGGTGACAAAGTGGTCACTATTTTTCCAACAAATTTTCGCATGTTTCATTAAGGATTACCTTCCAATATTTTTCAAAAAATGGGAAAAAATAAAACCGTTTCTTACCGATCCTGCAGCATGTGATTAATGGCGTCCCGCATCTTGCTGTTTTCCGTGAGCACATCGCTGCACTTCTTATTTACCACATCCAAGCGGTTCTCCAGTTTCACCACACTCTTCTGGACCTTGCAAATGGTGTCCTTGTAGCAGTTATCAGGCACTTCATTGCGCCGCAGGGCATCGATCTCCTTTTCCATTTTTCGGATGTGTCCCTCCAGTTCCCACAGATTGGTCCGCTCATTTTGAAGAACTCTCTGGAGATCCGCCTGCTGTCCCTGAAGAGTTCCTAGGTGTTTCTCCCTCTGCAAGAGTGTTATTCTATTGATAAAAGACACTAATCCATTAATTAGCCACCCACATAAGTGTTCTTTCGGGCATGAGTGCCTCCCTCGAGGGTCTTGATTTCCTCTTTAAGCTTCTGGTGCTCCACTTGCAGTACGTTAATCATGTGGTTCTGTTTCTTCAGTCGTTTGGCCTTCTCCTCGAGAAGTCCTCGAAGGTCCAGTTGGAGACCCCGATGCTGGCGCTGCAGTCTCAGTAGCTCGGCAGTGGCCAACTGGTCCAGTTCGCTTTGGTCAGCCATGGATCTTAGTTACTAATTTCGGTCTAGATTGAGAGTGCCACTCTATACTTTTTGTTAAAATATTTGATTGTTTTCTTAGTAAACAAGCGTTGCTGGTGGCAAGTTGCTTGGTAACGGTGTTTTTTCATTCCGATGCTTTTCTAAAAAAGAATTGGGTTCTACACTTTATGCGTCCTTCGACTATACATTGCCTTCAGATTTATCACGCATACGTACTGTTGTCATATATCAAAAGATAAATGTAATTATTTAGTTAACGTAGATTTCAACCAAGCATTTGTAGTTTCCCTCCATTATTTTAACAATTATTTCATGGAAATCATTAAGTATTTGTCAACTAGAAATGGAAAATTAATTTTATTGGTCTTAAATTTAATTTTAAAAAAGTATAAAATTGTTTTTTTAAGTTGAGCGGTTACCCACATGTTCTATCGATATTTTAACAAATTAAACCCACCTCTAGAGATAAACAAATATTATGACTAACCAGATGGTGAGTCAGTTAACCGGCTGATTTCATTTGTAGGAGCAACCTAATTCAGTGACCATGTCGCGATATTACTGCGGCTACAACCCGGCGCCTCCGAACTTCACAACCTTCTTTCCGGAAAAGTATAAGGACCGACTGCAGCGTCTTCCCAACTTTGGAAAGTTGCGACAGACCTGGGAAATCCACAAGAGACCCACACTCGTAATGCTCCATGTCTTTGCCGATGATTTTGGAGCTCTGGAAAAGTATGTGGAAATGGTCTACCAACTAGCTGCTCCACAAGTTCTGAGTGCCGAGATGGACTTTTACGTCGACGATATGTGGCAGTCTTATATCTTTAATGAGGAGGATTTTAGCTTCTTTCGTGACGACGATGGTTTCTCCGTGGATTCATTCCCACTCATCTACGCCATTGGTTCGACTGGTGAAGTGTTCTTCTTTGGTGATTTCGCTGGTCCAAAATTGCCCAATCTGGAGAGCCTAAGGGATTTCTGTGAAGAGGTGATAGGGGGGAATGTAAAGGAACCCACCACCAAGGAGTCAAAGGTGGAGGAAATCAGCTTGGACAGTTGGAACGAACTTCTGTATGCCTCCGATGAAGATATAGCTATATGTTTCTACAACTCTCTGCAGGATGGCACAGAGGTTAATAAAAGGCTAATGATAAATCTGGATAGGCTGGGCGATAGACTGAAACAGGAGTCGGTGCGACTGTATAAGATGGATATACATGAAGTAAGTGTCCCCAAAAAGTTCAATGTAGAATCTTCGCCCGCCTTCTTCGTCCTGCAAGGAACGCAAAGACATAATCCTCTTCGGTGCAAATATGAGCTGGGCATTTGGACGATGCTGAGATTTGTAGCAGAAAATTCCACGGAGGAGCTTAATTACTACAACCGTCGCGGACATCTGAGACTCCATGCGAATTTGCTTACCCATATGAGAGATTATTTTGATTTAAGCCACAACCAAAGTGGTTGTTTTTTGTGAAGGAATGTTTAGTATTGTATAATATTTGTGATAAATCCACGAGTAAGAGATAAACTATATAGAGGTAATATCTTAATTAAATCCCAGGATTTTATTGTCACTCAGAAGTTCTTTAAACAACAACCAAATTAATAAAATGTGTAAAAAAGTATCAAGACGCAAAAATTCAATTTATATTCTCATTTTTCTGGCTGTGGCTATCCCTTTATCCATTTTTATCTCTCAAGATTATTCAGTCCCGCTTGAAATATATAAATATGTCGTGTCGTATGGACTTCTACTTTTGTGGGTGCTTCTCCTTTTACCATCCATGTACTTCATCTATAAGAAGAAGGTAATTTTTCACATATCAAATTTGTTGAGTATTAATTATAGCTTTAACTCGCAGAAATATTTTCGATTTTTGGTGCCATATGCGATCATATGGCTAATTCTAAGTTCTTTATTATTTACTTATTACATCCTAAATGCCTATGATATTTTGGATTACATCTATTTTCAAAAAAACCTAAGATTCCTCACCTCTATGATGGCAGGTAAAGTAGAAAAACGGCTCACCTGAGATTATCAAATAATAGTAGTTTGCCATCTAGGCGGTGCACTGATTGGGTTTATGGTTCCAGTCAGTTATTATATTTATTTGAAGAAAAAAGACGAAAATGAAGAATGATTTCTCTAGGCATAAATATACCAAATTTTTAGTAAATGAGAGCTAAAGCAAAGGTTTTAACGTGGGTAAAAAATGGACAAAATAAATTTAAAAATATAAAAATATATTTTGTATTTTTGGCGCTCTGAAAAACTATCGATAGGAACAGGGATGATTGGTAGATACAAAATATCTTACAATTTAATTTTGGAATATGTTAAATTTACAAAAGAAGGTTGAAGATACAAAACTCGCAGTGTTCTTGGACCACAGGAAGCTAATAAACGAAGCATATGGCGAATTCCAGCTCAGGCCTGAGCTCTTCCATTTTCAGGCCAAGAAGACGCACCAGGAAAATGAGGGAACCAAGTCCAGGAAGCGCAAGAGGAAACCCAGCGAGGAAGAGCTGGTATCTTTGGAAGATTTGAAGATGGTAAATGGATATCTAGAGCTTCTGCCAAAGGCTCTTGAAGAACAGGAAACTCCAACGATGGAGAGGCACTGGGAAGACGCCTACGAACTGCCCCAACTCCATGGAGCCAACGAAAGCGGACGGATGCAGCAGTTCCAGGGACCAAGCGGCGTATACTTGATTCCCAATCGATCCCGATTCTACAACCACAATGTGGAGAATCTGACGGCTCTGCTGCACCAACTCCTGCCCACCTACGATCTCATCGTGCTGGATCCTCCGTGGCGGAATAAGTACATCCGCCGGTTGAAGAAAACCAAGCAGGAGCTGGGCTACTCGATGCTGAGCAATGACCAACTGTCGCTCATCCCGCTCTCCAGGCTCACCCACTCCCGCTCCCTGGTGGCCATCTGGTGCACCAATTCAACGCTTCATCAGTTGGCCCTGGAGCAACAGCTACTGCCCAGCTGGCACCTGAGATTGCTGCACAAGCTCCGATGGTACAAACTCAGCACAGATCATAAACTGATTGCTCCTCCGCAAGCGGATCTCACCCAGAAACAGCCCTACGAAATGCTCTACTTGGCTTGTCGCTCTGATGCTCCAGAGGATTTCGGGAAGGATATCCAAAGGACCGAGCTGCTCCTCAGTGTGCCCAGCATTGTGCACTCCCACAAGCCACCACTGCTGTCCTGGCTTGGGGATTACCTCCAGTTGGATGGGGATCAGGAGGAACCCAACTGCTTGGAGCTGTTTGCCCGCTTTCTGCATCCCCACTTCACTTCAATTGGCTTGGAGGTTCTCAAACTGATGGACGAAAGGCTTTATGTTGTGGATGAGGCAAAAAAATGCTGACAGAAAGTCGAAAATTAGTTGAGCTTAACAACTAATTACATTTGTAAAATGTTTTCATGTATTTCAATATTTATAAAAGTTTTTACAAATGTACCGAGGGACACAAAATGTTTAGTTTTCGTAAATTATACTGAAATAATTCCACTCGAAGCATGCCGCAAATCAAAATGTAATTTAAACAATGCAATTATGAGTTTTAACAATTTTATTTGTGTACTGTTAATGAGAGCAAATGCAGCAGAATTTGTGTGTGTAGGCGGCCCGCGGATGCGTTTCCTCCTCGCAGAGAAGCCAGCATTGCCTGGCCCAAGCTAAATGTTAAACATTTGGGGTGGCGTGTGTGGGTTTTGTTTCTTTTTTGTGTGTTAAATTAAGTATTAAAGGATAGTAAGCATTATTAATACACGTGGTTGATCGCAGGCTACTACTCCTGACCCTGGGCCATGGCGGCCGGGTTGGTGGGCTCGTTGCCGCCGCGTTTCTTCGATCCCGAGACGATGTCGTCGATGCGCAGCAGCAGGATGGCCGTCTCGACGGCGGTCTTGTAGGTCTGCAGCTTGACGGCCAGCGGCTCCCAGATGTTCTTGACGTTCATGTCCACAATCTCGCCGGTCTCGCCGTCAATTCCCCAGGCGCAGACGCCCTCGCCGGTGTGGGAGGCGTGCTTGGCGCGCAGGGCGGTCAGGGCACGGATCGTGTTGGCTCCGCAGTTCTGGGCCAGCGTGCGCGGTATGATCTCCAGGGCGTGGGCCACCGCCGTGTAGGGTCCCTTGACCTGCTTGCGCGTCAGCAGCTGGGAGGCGGCCATCTCGACGGCTCCGCCGCCGGCCACCAGGCGCGGCTCCAGCACCAAGTTGCGGGCCACGTGCAGGGCGTCCTGCAGGTTGCGCTCCGTCTCGTTCAGAATGTCCTTGCTGGCGCCGCGCAGCAGAATGGTGCAGGCCTTGGGCTCCTTGCACTCCGTCACGAACGTGAAGTACTCGTCGCCGATCTTCTTCACCTCGAACAGGCCGGCGCCCGTGCCCACATCCTTCTCGGTCAGCTCCTCGGTGCGATTAACGATGGTGGCACCGCAGGCGCGAGCAATGCGCAGATTGTCGGTCTTGCGCAGACGACGGATGGCCGTGATGCCGGCCTTCAGCAAATAGTGCTGGGCGAGATCGGAGACACCCTTCTCGGTGAAGACCAGATCCGGCTTCACGGCAATGATGTCCGCGCAGATGCGCTGCACAAACTCCTCCTCGATCTGCAGCATGCGGGTGAAGTCCTGCTCCCCGATGATCTCCACGTTGGTCTGGCTCTCGCCCTTCTTGTACTCCAGCGAGCAGTCGAGCAGCACGATGCGGGGATTCTCGATGTGGCGGCGCATCTTGGCGTGCGTCACGTCCTTGTTGATCATCACGCCCTTCAGCACGCACGACTCCTCGATGGCGCCGCCGGGAATCTTCTCCACCTTGGCATAGCTATGGGAAAATGTAACAATTTAATTTAAACGAATATGGTATTTCTTCAAATAAACAATAAATAATAAAAAAAAAAAATAAATAAAAAATAAAAAAAAATAAATAGGAATTAATGAAAAAATTAAATTTCTTGAGGAAATATATTCGATTATCTCCACTAATAGGACTTTTTAAATTCATTGGATATTTGAAAAAATTAAAAAAAAATAATAAAAAATACAGTTATTTTATATTATAGTTTTTGGCTTTATTGACTAAGTATTTTAAAGCAACTGATAAAAAATATCAGGGTTCGTAAATATCACATATCACACTTTGGTTTTATTTTCCTCATTTTTCCCTCACAAAATTTTAAAAATGAGGAAAATGTTTTGAGTAGAAAGCAGTATAAAACAGTTGGGATTTTTATCAGAAAAATATTAAATATTCATCAGCCCTGCTTGGTTACTCCTAATTTTATTGTGACAAATATCACCGCCCTATGTTGAAATTATTTTATTTGAGCAAAATTACAGATTGTGAGGGATTTTTTACGGACCCTGAATAATATTAAAATAACGTTCTACTGCAAAACATTTAACCACAATTAAAAAAGTAAAATCAATTATAAAAAATTGTAAAATCTTCAGCAAAATTTTAAATAGATTTTAAAATAAATAAATTTTAATATGGAAAATTAAAAAAATTATTCAAGCCCTTATCTACAGAAATCATCCCAAAAATTGGTTTAAAAAACTAGTAATATTTTATAACTCTGTCAAGTTACATAGATCTTCCCAACTTACCGCTTGATGTCAACCTCCAGACGACCGTTCTCGCTCAGCGTCACCGTCTCGACGGCGTCCAGGGCGATCTTGACGGCCAGGTCGGACCACTTGCCGATGAACTTGGTGCCCACGCAGGCCTTGACCACGTCGGCCATCTTGGCCTTGTCCTTGACGTCCAGCGTGATGCTCAGCTGCGACTGCAGGTGGCCGACGATGTCCTCGAGGGCCTCGCGGTAGGCGCGGATGATCACGGTGGGGTGGATCTGTTGCTGGAGGAAGGGCTCGGCGGCGGCCAGCATCTCGCCGGCCAGGACGATGACCGAGGTGGTGCCGTCGCCCACCTCCTCGTCCTGTGTGCGGGCGATCTCGATCATGCTCTTGGCCGCCGGATGCTGCACGGTGATCTCGCGCAGGATGGCGTTGCCGTCGTTGGTCATCACGATGCCGCCCATGGGGTCCATCAGCATCTTCAGCATGGCCTGGGGCCCCAGGCAGGTGCGTATCACATCGGCGATGGCCTGGAAAAGGGGGTTTTAATCAGCAGATGGCCGGCGGAGCACGAGAAAACCCAGACATGTGAGTCATGCATACCTTTCCGGCTTGGATGTTCTCCAACTGCACTTTGCGGCCCGATTCTCTCTTTGTGTTTTGACCTGCCGGCGAGGAATTCGATTGGAAATGGGCTCTGCGCGGTGCAAATTTCATACTCACTCAACACGAGTATTGGCTGCTGTCCACCGAACATCTTTCTGGCTGTTTAATTTATTTCTGCGTGAAAACAATTGAACTCGTGCTGGCGCTGCCGCTGTTCGAAAGAGAATGAGTGAGGTTAGGCCCGCCGATGACACACTGCGCGTATTCGAGAAGGTTCGATAGAAAACTGGGCGAACCGGCTCTTATTTTACTTCTCTTGCGTCCTGCTCTTAATTTGCATTAATTTTTCACTTACTTTGTGCTAATTAGCTTAATACTTTACGAGTTTAATTCAAATTCTTTACAATTCGAAGCAGCAGCTCTTTCGAGTATCGATAGCTTCAAACAATAGGTTTACACTAGGCCGCTTTTGCTATCGATGTCACGGAGTTGAAGGTGCGGGGAACGGTGATCAGTGACTTTGTTACAAAATTAAATACGGATCGATATCCATTGAACAATTTTTAAATTTTGATCTACATATTTTAATTTTTATTAATGAATACTATTGCAATACTTTTTTTTTTAATTATTAAAACGTACACATGCTAAAAAGTGTGTTATTCAATTGGCATTGAGTATCAAAATAAAACCAAAATGATTGACAGTTTTTAAAAAACATCAACAGTATTAAATATATCCTTTTTTTAAAGAAAATTATTAATCCTTATTAACTATCGTTATTACTTAAAAGCTTATTTATCGATTTCGAAACCTGGTAGTGTGAATAAACTATAAAAATGAGATGCGATAGTTTGAACGCGGTGAAAACGCGCCGAATTACCGATATCGATAGTTCTTCATAAAACAGCTGATTCGCTATTTGTTTACGATCAATTTCGGCGTCTTTTTCCATTTATTATTATTATTTGTTGTTAATCCTTTAACTAGTTAAAAAACAAAGCCATGGACGCCAAAAAGATATCTTTTGGCTTCAGTAAATTGGCCAAGAAGCCGAATATCCTACCGAGCAAGCAACCAAAAGAGGAAAGCAAAGTGGAACTGATAAAATGTTTGGAGGGAAACGAAATCATGCCGGTGGAGTAAGTTAAATTGCAATTATTTATTTTAACTATTTTATAATAAGGTTATTTTTAGGGAAAAAGTGCAGGCCGCCCCGCTGACCATCCAAATGATCGGAATGCAGAAGACTTCGTCCGCTTTGGCAAGTTTGATGAGGCGACGAGCGGTTCTGCTGGGCGAGGAGGAACTTGACCCAGAGGAGGTGACTCCAGCGGCCCAATCCATTGCGGAGGTCACCGCAGGCGGTGCTACGGAAAGCCTGGAACAGCGGGCAGCTCGGGAGTTGATATCAGCCAGCCAAAATAATGCTGACGAAGGCCTCGATGGTCAGAAACTCGTTCTGCCCGCCGTAAAAGCGGACGAACTGCCTCTCGATGGCGCCAAGGAGGCCACACTCGATGACTACGACAACATTCCCATCCAGCAGTTTGGCCTGGCCATGCTGCGCGGCATGGGTTGGGTGGATCCGCCGCCAAAAAAGAAGGGTTCGGGGCCAATTGACGATGCGCCCTTCCTGCGACCCAAGGGCATGGGTTTGGGCGCTGACAAAGCACTCAAACCCAAGGCACTGCTGGTGCAGCCGGAGAAAAACGAAGTGCTGGAGATCAAGAAGCAGGCCTACGTGCGCATCCTGGGCGGCAAACAGAAGGATCAGTATGGCCAAATCCAAGGATTCGATGATCATGCAGGCAGAGTCATTGTTAAAATGGCCATTGGTGGTAACAAGGAGGCGTTCAATGAGTTTCTCTGCCAGCCAGTGTCGAAAAAGGAGTACGCCCAGTATGGAAAGTGCATAAGTAAGTCGTATATTTTGTATAAACTTAAGCAATTGTAACATTATTTTATATTTTCAGACTCTGCCAAGTACGACGAGTATAAGAAACATGAAAATGAGCACGGCCAGATCATTGTGAAGGAGGAGAAGCCAACAGAGTGGAGGGAAAGAGACCGCCGGGACGGAGATCAAGATCGCAAGAGTTATAAGTCGGAGGAACAGAGATCTGGCAAAGACGAGTATCGCAGGAGATACAAGGAAGAAGACAAAAGGTCTTACAAGGAAGAAGATAAAAGGTCTTACAAGGAAGAAGATAAAAGGTCTTACAAGATTGAAGACAAAAAGTCGTACAAGGAAGAAGATCGCAGGAAATACGAGGACGATAGCCGGAAAGCATACAGGCCACACAAGGAAGAGGCCAAATCCTACAAGGAAGAAGGTCGGGACAGAAAGAAATATGTACAGGACTCGCGAAGCAGTAGCTCCACCACATCTAGGCGGGAGGAGCGTCGACGTTCGCCGAGTCCCAGCAGCAGAAGTTCCTCTAAAAGTAAGCGCGAGGAGCGTGACAGGCGGAGTTCACAGAGTCCCAGGAACAGCAGAAGACCGAAGAGCAGCTCGGACGAGGCAGACGACACGGGCGAGTCCACCGAAAGCGACTCGGACTCCGCCTACGAGCGAAGGAAGCACAAGAAAAAGTCATCCAGCCGCAAGTCCAGAAAGCACTCGAAAAAGTCCAAAAGTAAATCGAAGAAGGCGGACCACGACGACTCCAGTTTGGAGAGCGATAACAGCTCGAATGAAAACCACCGTCGACATCCCAGCAAGCACAAAAAGAAGACCAAGAAGAGCAAGCACGTGAGATCCCGCACGCGGTCTAGATCGAGGGACCGCAAGTGATTTGATCTATTCAGTTGAAATCTTTATTTAAATATAGTTCAATAGACGCTTAAGTTCTTTTGTATCTTACTTGGGATTATCATAAATTTCAATTAACTCACAAAATAATCACAAAAATGTCTTGTCTTTTGTTGCGCGTTCTTTTTCTCTCTCTCTCCGATCGCCTCGCTTCGAGATTCCTTCGGTCTTACATGTTACAAACTTATAGTAGGAGATGTGATGGGGCCACGACGGGATTTGCTAGATATCCGTTGAGAATACTTATCCTTTACGATATTCATAGTTTCAAATTCAATGCTCGAGTGTGTGTATTTAGTGATGCGATGAGTGCATAATGGCAAGTAGATGACTTAGGCTTTTATAATATTTTTTGGTCAAATGGTGGTGAGTGTATGTGGGTGATTTCTTTACTGCAGCTTCCTCTTGCCGCACTGGATCTTCTCGTTGATGATCTTCGAGGCCTTCTGGGTGACGGCCTTGAAGACGTCCTTGTTCTGCAGCCCCGGCCACATGGCAATGAGCAGGGTGGCCAGATACATGAGCAGCAGATTGTTGAAGATGGCTCCAATCCAGGCGAGAGCGAGGAGACCCAGGCTAATGACGATCACAAACTGGGAGGAGTATACAATTTTAACTTAAGTACTTGAATAAATACTTCTGGGATCCCCTTACCACTGTGGATTTCCGCTCCTTGAAGAGGTAGTCGTACCATAAGACCATGTTGCTCTTGACGGCGCACACCTGGCCGCAAACGTCCTCGAACTTGGCCTCCTGGTCGCCATCCCAGTTGACGCCGCCGAAGAGCAGACGCGATACCGTGGGGAACACATAGTCCAGTAAGAGGGTGATGAGTCCGAGGAGCGACAGCAGGGTGATTAGGGAGAGGTCCAGCCACCAGAGGAGCAAGTAAAGGACGCTGGTTGCTCCGAAGACCACTCCAGCGTAGTACTGCTTCTCCCAGGTGAGCACGCCGTAGGCTCCCACGATGGCCGTTCGGAAGGGCTCCAAGTCGTGCTTCAGCTTGTTGAGGGCTCGTTTCTATGGGGAAAAGTTGGAAATATTGGAAATTTCATCTCCCTGATTTACCGCACAATGGCGACGCCGTTTTCCGGCCGGAAAGCTTTTTTGTGCAATTTGGGCCCCTCGCTCACCTGGTCAACCTGCGATGCTGCCATCTTGTCTTGGGCTTTCCTTTGTCTGTAGTTTAAGGCCGAGGTTCGGATTCGCTTCGGTTCCCTGTAATGTAATTAAAGCCAAGCCAAAGGTGTTGCTTTCGGTTTGAGCGAAAAATCAATTTTCCTAGGCTGAGTTTTTTTCTATCGATTGAGAGGCGTTATTTTGTCTCAGTCTATCGGTGCCTATCGATAGTTTTCAAGTGTGACCGGAATTCGCAATTTCAAAAATCACAGTTTGACCGTAGTGTCCAATTTGAAAAAAGTTCAAACTTGGGGTTGATTTGTTTTTTAACACAGGACTTTGTTTTTGAAAGAAACTTGGGGATCAAAAGCGTTTAAAATCATATTTTTTTTTAGTTATATAAATAAATTTTAAAATGTTTATTATTAAACATATCCAAGTTTTTATTAAAAGAGTCATTTCTGTTATAAAATCTTAGAAACGAATGCCAAATATATGCTTTTGCAAAGAAATTAAATTTATAGAAAAACCCGCATTTCAAGTTAGATAAATCGTTTTTGCTTTTGTGAGCTAATCAAGACAAATCAAAGGCAGCCATGTGTTTTGTTAGTTAATCAAACCCCGCAATTGCAACTTTTCCGCTTTTCAAAAAACAACCAACAAACGCAATATTTATTTTAGGAAGTAAATTCAAATTTAGGCTCGAGTTCTTTCGTTGAAATAGGGAGTAAGGCCCCTGAATTTAAATTTGATAAAATAAAGCCTTTTTAATCTGAAGAGTTTGGCTATTTTTTTTTATTGCTATTGATTGAATTTTTAAATTAAACAATTTAAACGGCAATTACACCAATTTTCTTTTGCTCAAAATTACATCTTTTATTGCGATTTTCCTCGCTAAAATCTCGTATCGATTTCAACTGTAATTGAACTCACAGCAAATAGAGATAATAGTCGTTGAACTGTCCTGAATATAATTGAGTAATTATGGTGGTGGGTGGATGCGGGGATGTGACAATAGATTACTCCTGTGGTCATGAACCAAATTAAATTTTGTGTTTGAACAATTGATTACATGTTGACGTAATATATGGACGGTCTCTGGGGACTCAAGAAATAACGATGTGGGTTGTCCTTATTCTTTACAGCCTTAAACTTCTTCAATAAAAATCGAAGCTGCTAGGATTTTATAAGTTTTGAGGGATACATTTACAAAATGCATTTTTCCCTGTTTACTAAGAGCTACAAAAGACAGTGAAATTATTGAGTATCCGTTTTTATTAAAAATAATTCAGTAGACATAGTATAATTACTAAATACATTGAAATATAGACGAACCTTCTGGGCGTGTTGTTACTCCAAAAATAAGTAAAACCACCCTTTTCATTTTCCAATACGTTTGCTAGACCCCTATGCTGAACTCTCCACCGAATAAAAAGTAATTTCAGTCATATCCTTCATATATTTAATTTGAATGATAGACAAAAGTAATCTTGTTACTGGAGATAGTCACTACATGTATCTAAAATTATCGTTATGATTAAATAGATGTAATGGTTAAAAGATGAATGGGAATTTTTAAGTGTTCTTCTTCGCATGCCTTTTGCGTTTGGATTGTGTGTGTTCTTAAGGTTTCTTTGTCATTTCCTTATTATAACTTCATGGTGGATTCCTGGCTGAGACCGATAGACGAATATTATATAGTTCAAAATATGACATCAAATGATATTATACGTGTGTGTGCATATTCATGTTGTTCACTCGCAGCCGAGCGAAATGTCAAATGTAAAGCATAATCGGATGAGATTACGTTTATATTTTATCATTAAGTGGGTAGTTGGGTTCAGTGTCTAAAAGCGTCGGCGTCCCCAAGGGGCGTTATTTCCGCCCACATTGCTGCCGCGCTGATTTCCGCCGGCTCCGAACTCAAAGCCGTCTAGCTTGTCCTGACCTCCGGGACCCGAGTTGCTTCCTCCCACCATGGTGGAGTTGTTGTTGCTGTTGTTGTTCCGGAAAACCTCAAACGGCGAGTCGGGCCCAAAGTTGTCGAATCCGCTATTGCTGCCGCCACCGCCGCCGAATCCCTCCTGCTGATCAAGCAGCGAGTTGAGTTGCTGGGCCTGCATCAGCAGGGCGTTCTCCTGCTGGCGAATCCGCATGTCCTCCTCCTGGCGTATCATATGGCTCTGCATCTCGCCCTGGTGACGACGCATCGTCTCCTCCTCGCGCTTGCGCATCTCCTCGGCCTGCTTCTCGCGCATCTCCCACTCGAGCTTCTTGCGCTCGTTGTCCACCTCGCGCTTCCGCAGCTCCTGGCGCAGCAGCTCCGTTTCCTGCTCATAGCGGGCATACTCCATCTGGGCCTCCAGCTTGTCCTCCTCCATCTTGAGCTCCCGCTTGAGGGCGTCCTGCTTGCTCTTGAACAGCCCGTGCAGCTGCTTCCAGCGCGAACCGTACTCGTGCTCGAACGAGTTCATGTCGGCAAAGCGCGGCCCCACGCTGCGCTCCTGGCAGAAATCGGGCATTTTCTTGTTCAGCGCCTTCTCGGGCAGCCCGTCATTGTCGTCGTTCACCTCCATGGGCTCCACCAGACACGGACGCAGCGAGGAGGTGAGAAAGAAGCACTTCTCGTTGCACAAACGCAGACAGGCGCTGGCCGAGGACTTCTTGGCGAACTCCACGATGCCCTCGCCGGTGTGCTTGCCGCGATCGTCCACAGTGATGCTGGCCCGCTCGATGGGCCCGAAGATCTCGAAGGACTGGTAGAGCAGCTCGTTGGACACGAACTGGTTGAGGTTGCTCACGCGCAGAATGGTGGCATTGGGTGCGAATCGCACGCGCAGCTGGCGACCCTTGCGCAGCGAGCCATCCAAGGCGCGCTTGGCCTTCTCGGCATTCGGATGGTAGTCGACCTTCAGGAATGTAAAGTTCTTCTCCAGGTTCGAGAAGATCTCGGAGATCTCGCCGTACGGCTTGAACATTTCGCGCAGCTCGTCGTCGGTGATGTCGCCGGTCAGGTTGCCCACATACAGGCGATTGCGTCCCGAAAACTTGGTCTCGGTGGGCACCTCAATGGGCGGCAGCTCGTGGGTGGGTCCTCCAATGCTGCGCAGTCGCTGGGCAATGAAGAAGTCCTCGCCGCCGCCGCGCTGACCACCGCCGCCGCCGCCCATCATGGTGTTGTTCATGCCTCCTTGGCCTCCGGAGCGGTTGCCGCGATTGCCGCCGCGCTGCTGTTGGTTTCCGCCTCCTCCACCGCCGATGGTTTGATTTTGGCCACCACCGCCGCGTCCTCGGAAGCCTTGATTGCCTCCCTGGTTGCCACCACCCTGGTTTCCGCCGCCCAGATTGCCACCTTGATTGCCGCCGCCCTGATTGCCCTGGTTGGCATTCTGGTTGGGCTGGTTCTGGCGTCCTCCGAAGCCCTGTCCTTGCCGGCCCTGGTTACCTGGTCCTCCTTGGTTTCCCTGGCTGCCTTGATCACCTTGGCTAGCATTCTGGTTGGCTCCTCCGCCGCCGCGTCCTCTGAAGCCTTGTCCTCCTTGGTTTCCCTGGCCGCCTTGATTGCCCGGTCCTCCTTGGTCGCCTTGGTTCTGGTTGGGATTCTGATTTGGGCCGCGTCCTCGGAAGCCCTGTCCTTGGTTACCTGGATTGCCTTGATTGCCCTGACCCTGGCCGGCATTCTGATTCGGCTGCACTGGATTGGCAGCGGCGGGTTCATTGTTCTTTGCGGGCACATTGCCCGCAGCCGGCGGCTTTGGTGATTCGTTCGTCGGCTTCTGATTTGCATTATTGGCACCCTGGAAACCCTGCCGGTTTTGATTTTGGTTGCCTCCGCGATTGCCGCGATTCCCGGTGAAACCGCCGCGGCCACCGCCTCCTGCGGGACCACCACCACCACCACCACCGCCGCCGGCTACTCCACCACCACCTCCTCCTCCTCCGCCGTTCTGGGTGTTCGGCCCGAATCGTGGCTTTTTTTCAACAGGATTACCGTCGCTCGCGGCATTTTGCTTCGGGGCCGTGTGCTTGCCGAGATTCTTATTGGCCAGATTGCCCCTCTGCTGGCGCTGGGGCAACGGCGAGGCGTTGTTCGAATTATTTAGCTTAACCGCACCTTCCATTGCACAAAAAAAAATTCCCTTTTTTTCAGATTAAAATGCTCTATGCCCGAAAAACACCGATGGAAGTGTTGCCAGGTAGAAAAAAGTTCCGAATCTTAGAGCAGGCACTCCAGTCGATAACTGGATACTATCGATGTTTGCGGAAATTGGGTAGTATCGATGTTTTGCTACCAACCATCGATTAATTTGAGTAGAATTGTCAAGCTATTCTTCTTTTAAAATTAAAGTTTTAAAAATTCCTACTTTACTATTAGAAACAGAATAATCTTTAGGCCTGGCAACACTGTAGTTAGACCCGAATATTCCAAAAATACCTCTGTCAAAATAGTGTCGATGGTTAACGTCTATATTGGAACAATGGAGCTATAAATAAAGTAGCTGAGACCTGGTTTTTAGGAGTTTGCTAAAATATAAAAATTGAATTAGTAATCCAATAAATTTCATAATAAAACCCCCAATATTATACCATGTTTCATATTCCACCGTTTTGAGTTGCACAAGTTTGGCGCCTTTCAAAAAATCCCCCAAATTCAAAATTCGGTTACCAAAGAACAATCACCCCAGTTTATTTATAGTTAGTTTTAAAGTTTTATTATTCGCTCAAGCTTGCTGAAGATTCTCGGTTGACATTCGGTTTTCTAGTACATGTATTAATTAGTTTAACTAATGCTAAATATAATCTTGCTGTTCATTTACGAGTAATTGAAATGGATTCGGTTTATTTGTAAAAAGCGCTTGTCGTAAAATAAAATGGAATAATATTCTTCTTTTGCACTGCAGTTTTCCATAGTTTGCTTGATTTCGCATATTGTATATAGATTTATTCATATATTCCCGTGTCTAACGCTTGCTTCGAAACTCAATGGCTAAATATACATCAAATATATGTGATTTAATTTCATCTTTTGAGATTCTTGAGTTTTACAGTAAATAAACTACATATTACGTTATATTATTCTGACAATTAAATATATGAAAAATATGCATTTCTCGAGTTGTTTGGTGTATTTTGGTGTAAATAGCGTGTGGCGCAATATCATTTGTAGTTATACTTGTATTGTTTTGGGGTGTACCTCCATATATATATATATCTGGATATCTTTCGAAGCGGAACGTATGTTTTTTGGGGTACAAGTATGTTTCGAGTAAATTTGTATAAAGGTTAAGGTAATGCGTTTATCTTTAGTAAGGCACTAGTTACACGTTAAGACGCCGCTTAACGTGTAACTACTGACTACGACACAAATTGCGATTGCAATGCGGTTCTCCCTCCTCTAAATTCTCCGATCCGCGCTCTTCCAGCGATTCTTTAAAGCTTACGTGTACATTTCATTAGCGTATTCATTTCTACATTTTCAATTTTCAATTTTCATATTCCGATTTCTAATTCATTTTCACTTAGCTGCTACGGCACTGCACTGCACCAAACAAACGTTACTAGACCACCTACTAAAGATAAGACTGCCGGAAAGGTCCGATCGGATCGGGAATTATAATAGCAACTACGTGAAGCGATAGCCACAACTGGGTTTTCGATTTCGATTTCGTATTCGTTTTCGACTGAGTTCCTAGTGGGTGGTGGTGGTGAGAGTTGAGACAGTGTGTACTGGTAGGCTGATAGTAATTCTTTTGGGGATAGTACATTTCTGGGTTGGTTTTGGTTTGGTTACGCTAGTTACAATGTCTAACCTATAAGTACATAGCATTAGGGGGAGAGACAGAGAGAAATAGAAAGAGAGTTGGTATATAGTTAGCAATTGGGTTGTTCTAAGTCGGACTAAAAACTAGTTTTAAACTACATACAAAGTTTAAAATGCAACTGCTCGGGCGAGGGAGAATTTAAATCGATTTAGTTCTCTTCTTGTTCTTGGTTTTTTTATTTTTTGGTTGTATGCAAGTTAAAATCGGTATCAAAATCCATTCAATGATGACATGTGGTAGTGTCCCGTGAGTGATTTAGATTACAGGGGTTGCTGTATGTATGCTGTATAGTTTTTGTAGTTGGCGGCAGTTTTGAAACTTGTCTTACACTGGACTAACCTAGTTGCAGTGGCTACTCTCGCTCCAAGTGGCTGGTGTGTGTGGGCGTGTGTGTTTATCTGGGGGATTCACATGCATAGCGGGCTAATAACTAAGTGCAGGATGGCATTTCATATAATTGAGTTGGTTGGTTGCTTTTCACACATTTCTTGTCCGACTTTTGATATAGTTCTGAGATTACAGGGTCGATTACTCGATTTCGTTCGAGACAAGAATGCTGGCGGGCTTAATAGTTAAGTTCAAATGAAAAACTTTCAGTTTATTATAAAATTTCACACTTTTCAAATCTTACAATGACTTTGTTTCGTTACATGTTCGTATGTATTTAAGGATATAGGGATAATGGGAATGTGTGGGCGCTCGAGTATGAGAGTGTGTGATGCGATTATTGCTTATGGTTATGCTTCTGCTTCGACATGTACAATGAGATTCGCATTCTACTTAAGATAACTCGTTTCGTAAATCATAAATTAGACCATTAACTAAAACAAGCAATTCACAAAAAATATACACTTAAAATCATAAACACAATCGGATGTTCCATGGTACGATGATACCAATGTCAATGTGGGTCTAAACTTAAAACTTAGCGAGCTGATGAACGTAAGCTACCAGTATAGGTCGAACATAAAATTAAAATGTTTTACAGAGAGTTTCATATTTCATATTATACATAAGGCCGTTGAGGGGGAATCGAGTTTAATACTTAAAAATAAGGGCTTCATTTCGTCGTCCTAATCTTTCTTGCCAGCTTTTCTTTTCTTTTTGGGGAAAGCTGTTGATGCTAAAGCAAATTTAGCAGACAGTTTTCTGCATGCGTGTCTTTCTGTGTGTTTTTTCTGGGGGCTGTGTGTATATGGATGGCATGGGCGTGGGCGTGGCAGGTTGGAATGATGATCGTTCCTTGTGACGCATATATTACAGATACAGTTTTGGTTGCTTGTGGTTTTTGATCGATATCAACAAACTAGTGCTGATTATTTACATCCATGGATGGATGTCACATTAGTCTGAGATTCTGAGTGTTGTTGATTCTTGTTCTGTAGACGACTGTTGTTGTTGTTTCTTGTGTTTGATTTGCATTTGCATTTGCTTTGGATTGGATTGATTTTTACATATCGGATGCGTTTAGTTCAAGAACCTTGCTACTGTTATCATTATGAGGTTGGCCAAGATGATGCAAATGCTTGATTCTGGCAAATAGCTACCTCCGGCCACGACCACATCCTTCTCCTCCAGGAGCGGATAGTCGATGACGTGGATGATTCCGTTGGTGCACTCCACATCAGGCCGGTAAACGTTGATCTTCTTGTAGTTCCAGATGATCACATAGCCTGCAAAAGGAAGTAGACGATGTTAAGGTCGGTCGGCTGGAAATCACAATCTTTATGCACTCGATGGGTGGCTAATGCTAGTGGATTGCCCAATGAGAGAGAGCTATGGGTGGGCATGGCCAGGTTTGGGGGGTTTTAGTGGGCGGTGCGATGTGGGTTTGACAAACGACAGCACTCACCAGTCCATTCGTGACTAGCATACTCATCATGGAGATCTTTCGATTGGACAACGATTAGATTTAGTTAAGCAGAAAGCGAGAAATTTAGTTCGAGAGTTGTAGAAAAACAGGTTCGTTCGGTTAGTAACGCAGCACGGTAGGGGAGGACCAATAGAATCAAATCAAATTTATATGAATCGAATCGACTTGAATTGAAAGGAGAAGCAACTGAGCCCTTGGCCTCCCATGGTCTATACTTACGTCCAGCCTCCTCCTCCACGCGGATGCTCAGCGAGTCGCGGAAAGTGGGCAGGACAACGCTTCCCGATTCGTGCGATAGCTTGACCAGATCCTTCATGGTGTACTCCTTGTCCGAAATGGCCAAATGACGTTCCAGGATGGACTTAGACTGTAATTATTACAGAATAAAAATTTTGAAAGATAAAAAGGATGAGTCACAAACGTACATGGTAGGCAAAGTCTTGCATAAAGAGCTTCTTGTGAGCCGATGGGTAGTCCAGCTCAGTCTTCTGCCAGCCCTTGTCCCTGGGCACAAAGTAGGTGAAGCGGCGCTGTGTGTTGTTCAGCTGGTCGTTGAAGTGCGAGAACTTGCCCATCTTATAGGTGTCACTTTGGGAATTAAATTTAAAATTTAAAAACAGTTTTATTTTTGGCCTTGCAACCAATCTTACCTCATCATGGGATCGGACTCAAGTTTGCCCAGAACTGTGGTGTAAGGCACACCCAGAACGTGATCGATAATGTGAACAAAGCCATTGGTCTGGGCCACATCAGCCTGGATAACGGTGGCATTAACGCCGCCTCCCTCAACTGAGACCACGGTGTCTGTTCCCTCGCCACGGACGTTGAAGTACAGGAAGGTGTTGTTGTTGACAGTGGGCACCTGAGCAATCTGGCGGATAAAACAGATACATTAGAAATAAATCCAAATATAAAACTAATCCTAAATAGACCCTTACCAAATTGGCATTCTTCTGCCTGATCTTATCCACATTCAAGCGGTCCTTGATGATGTGCATGTTCAAGATTTGCCTCATCTTGTTGCGGTCTCTGCAAAACGTAATTATATATAAATTAAATGGGTTCATTATTTGTACTCATTTGAGGGACATTACCGCAGAACATTGTTGATATTGGAAGAGTTCCAAGCCTCATTGCTGGGTGCCAAAATGGTCACTTCGGACAAACTGTTGATATCGTCCAAAACTGCTCCTCCATTGTCCATAATAACTTCGTAGAACTTTCGCAGAGCTCCGTTCTCGGCATTCTCCTTTAAAACATAGTAATAAACTATTAGCAAGGGTTCGTAATATAAATAGTTAAGCTACTAAAAATAATAATATATTTGAAAAAAGGTTGAATGAGGGAAGGGTTCGCATAAGCAGTTAAGGTTTTTGGTGTTCTTTTCGCAAACACGTAAAAACGAAAATAATACAACAATAAGAAAGTTTTCCGGTTATAGTATCAACCAATTATACACATATTGAGCAAGGGAATGGATGGCCAATTGAGAAGTGAATCAATGGGGGGATGCCAAATGACTCACTACAAACATCGTAATGTATGAGATTTTGTGGAAACAATATCTACCGATTTATTGAATTAATTGTGCGGTGGTTGGGTTGGATGGCAATTTGATAGCAAAGCGTTGCACTGATGACTGTTGTGGTTTTTGTTTTTGTTCTTGTTCTGCTAGTGTGTCATTTACTTACGTTCATGAACTAAATCGTTTTTTAAAACGGAGTGGTAGGAGAAATATTTCATTTTTCATTCGATGTGATTTAGTCACGATAAGATTCGAACAAAATTGAATTGAAACATTTAAATAATAATTTTTTTGGGATTTGGGTTCCACGTAGAGGGCCCGAGTTGTTCCGCCACAGAAGAACGTTGGAAATAAAGCACAAGGGAAATATATTTAATTTTCGTTGTTCTTAGGCATTTTGCATTGAGCAGGCAAACGGTATGATACCTTTATGTACATGTCATTAAACGGCGTGCACATGTCTTACAGCGAGTAAACCATTATAGTTTTCAATACTATTAACCAAAACATTTTTAAGAGCTTTCAAACACTACTAATTAGGAATAGGCCGAAAAACAAAACATTTCGACGCAAAATATAAAATAATAAGTACAAAATCTATGCTTTTTGAAAGAACTAGTAAAACCTCAACATTAATTTCAAAGGACTCTTAAAAGTTTTGTAAACTATTATGTGCATTTGTTTAATTTTCATCAATATGGTAATTACTAAAATAAATTAGTGCTGTACATCGGGTACATTTTGAAGACTTGCTCTTATTTTTTTAAATTCTCAGATCTGCCCAACTTTTAGTCTAAATAATCTTGGACGAAATCATGCAAAGGGAATATACATAGCTGGGGGATGCAACACAAAATGCAACTTTAAAGAAACTAATAAACTTAATTTAAGAATCGGATCTTTATTCGGTTTACCTTGAACGACTGAATTCGTTAACATATTGGTTTTTGTTTCAATTGTTCGGTGCATCGATTCAATTTTAGAGCGATATGTGGTTGGATTGGGTGGTGTTGTAGTTTAAGATACAATTATTCGGCATGTGGCGAGAAACAAAGGATAGAGGTATGGATCAGTAAATAGCCAAAGGAGCGTTTCACAAGTAATTACAACAGAACTAGACTGGAAATTTCGAAAACGATAGCACGATATGAAGGCGCTGACGATTCGAGCGGTCGAATGATTTTGTCATTCTGCAGTCCGTTCCATAACTATAGGACTAAACTACAGGAGAACTACATTACTAGTTTCACAACGTCGAATTTAATATAATACACTTCCTTGAATTATGTCCGATAGTTTCGAAACGCACTGTACGTAATGTGTATGCCTATGAGGGAGCTATTTATCGGGTGGGGTGGTTTTTTCGGATTAGTCTTAGAAGAAACATATACAGCTACGGTTAAGATTATGATCAAAGCATGCCGGCTGATAGCGAGCGAAGGATGATTGACCACGGAGGTGCACGGCGATTGAGGGATAGCCAATCAATGATAAAGATTAATTTATAAATGTTATCTTGAGGCTATTAAATTGCCAATACATTCAATACAGAACAATGGGTTTTTTTTTTTGGTGAATGAAGTTTTTGTCGATTTCGCTCAGATCGAGCAAAGCGCATTTTCAGCAATATTTTTTCAGTGTGTGCCAATTGGTGACAAAATCGCGTATTGAATTTCGAGGGCCAATTTCGAGCGCCTTGTTCAACTGAGTCAGTCGATTGCACTTTTCAATGCAATAACTGCAAGTGAAATGCTTTTCGATACGGAAATCTGATTCATAGAAAAATTTACATGAATTACAATACGTTTATATAATTTTTTTTTGGTTTTTCAGTTTTGGCAATACTTACATTACACCCAAAATTTTTTTAAAATAAAATTTATATTTTAAAAATTATTTTAAAATAAAATTTTGCTTTTGATTTTACATAGACCCGAATTAGAATACTGGCTTTTGGGCAAATTCCTTTGTTTTTGGGGAACTTGCACCAAAATTGGGGAAAAATTCAGTTCTAGATAAAATCAGTCTTTTGGGTTTTCATTTGTAATAATTAGATGTATCTAGGGGATACTCAGAGATCTAGTGTCTGCATTGATCTATTCTATTTTGTATGTGTTAAAGCTGTGGTTTCTGGGTGCCTTTTTATTTGGTTTTGGCTTTGCCCCCAATCGAGCGCCGAAGAGACCTTGGGAATATTCTCCCTCTGGCGACATATTTTTCGGGGAGTTGCTCAATCAAGGGCAAAGAAAAGCCGATTGTGTGTTTAAATGTGTTAAGCTCATGTATTCATGTAGCATTCGCTGGGGCAGCTGGCAAGCGATTCAATTGGTTTCCCAGTCTGTCGGAACTGCCGCCAGCGTTATCTTTCAGTGCGTGCCGAGCCAATCAAAATGCCAAGCCTTATCACAAGCCGCAGGCACTATCATTGCTTCTGGGTGTCTGTGTGTCTCGGACTGTCTGTCTGTGTCTGTGTCGTGTCGGTGTGGCTAGGCTACTATTGCCCTGGTTGCGTTTCTCCAACACCCCACATACCTGCAGAAATTGGGTGACCGTCGTATCGATAATCATCAGAGGTCGGTGGATCAGATGGACTACTCCGTTGCTCACTGGAATATTGGCCTTGACAATCTCGGCCAGAACCACTCCCTCGCGGTGCTTGGCATCACCCGCAATGGTGTTGGACTTGACGTACACTGGAATGGGAAAAAATATACATTTAGAAAGCATTTAGAATATAAATATTTTTTTTCCATATTTTTTAAGCATTTATGTAATTTTCTGTAAAATTAATTTGTTTCTAAATGTCAAAATAATTATTGTTTCGTTAAATGAAATTGTACCTCTAGTTTCTAAGTAATTTTATAATTACCACAAAGTGACCGATAGGGATATTAAAACAAATAAATTTAAAAAAAATTAAATATTATAATACCCAATGTTCTTGACTAAATTGCAAACAAATAATTTCATTTAATTTTTGATTTTTGTGACCAAAAGTACATATTTTCAAGAAATGGGAAAATGGTGTTTTAAAACCTCAGATCACTCACTTTTGCCGTTCTTCTGTTTGAAGAAACTGACGGTGACCTTGAGCAAATCCTCAAAGGCGGCAGAAGTCTTGGGATCGTCGTGCTGGGCAGCGGCAGTGAAGATGACAGTGTTGGGTATCACATGGCCATCGACGACCTTGGCGTCCACTAGGCTGCTGCGAGCGGTTAGCTAAAATGATAGAGGGTTAGTAAAACAAAAAAAGAATACAAGGAAAGGCGAACCTTAAAACCCTCATCAACGGGAACCAGGAAGGTGTGGAATCCAGCTGCTTCGTAGACCGACTCCTTCTTGGCCATCGTCAACTGGGTGCGGTAGGTGCGGACACCGATGTTGTCCACATTGAACTCCTCGGCCTGCTGAAGGAACTTGAAGGCATTCGGGTTCCTGGGGGTATCCGAATGACCAGCCTTGGGGGTGAGCGGCTCCAGCACCTCGTCGATGATGTGCATGATCTGTGGGTGGATAAAGGAGTTTATATATGCATATGAAGGTATAAGGAGGCCACTCACCTGTCGCTTGCCATCGTTGTTTGTCTCCACACTGAGTGAGGGTATAATTCGGGCATTGTTCACAAAGATGTCGCCATTCGAGTTCTTTGTGATATACAGCGGCGGATTGCCGGACATGTCCGATGGCACGGTGCTCGGCAATGTTTTCTGGGTATACGCCTCAGTGGCTGCAATTCAGAGGGTAGAGTCATATTGTAATGAATTTTATTATTTTTAATCAGCCTGATTGAAACTGAACTCACTAATGTGATAGAGCACATGGGCGGTTTTGCTCTTGTAGCGCTGGAAGGCTTCATTGGTGGGCACAAAGATCGTGCAGCTGCGCAGCGCAAGTGTCGAGTTGGCAATTTGATTGCTCTCCAGCAGGCTGTAGAACTGCAAAGATAAACGGGTTCGTTACACTCCATTCGCGACGCTCTATTGCCAATATCTTATCGAACCGAGTGGGGGGAGTAAGTGGGTGGTGGTTCTCGGGGGGTGGAGTGGGTGCTTTTTGGGGGTTGTTCATCGACGGTTGCTGGGCGGTTTTGGCAAAACGGCAAAGGCAACCATGACAACGACTAACAAACTAATAAAATGAGGAACAACATTATGCATGTCCTGGTTGGGAAGGCTGGGCGGGCGGCGTACCAGAAAAAAAGGTTTATTGAACCAATTACGTAAGCCTCGGGGTGGGTTACGCCGCCCAAGTGGATTGTGTGTCATTCAATTGAGAGCGGGATGTGAAAATGCATTTTCCAGCCACCCCAAAAAGGCAGCCACTGACCCTAAACCAGGCCCAGAGTCAGTTGGGCCACCTGCCCCTGCCACATGAGGCCGCATGCAACCGCACACTCTGCGGCTTCCCCGAGGAGAACCACTGGCCACCGGCACCGCCACGCCCCGCTGCACATTCCCAGTCGGCTTTATGAGGTCCTGCGGATATATATCTGTGTAAGTGTCTCGGTGTGTGCCTGTGTGGGTGCGTGTCCTGCCGAGGACAACACCTTTTTCCGTGCCCTCCTTTAAAACGGTCGTGTGACTCTCGTGTTTTCGCTGCTGCCCAGCATGAGTCATGGCAATTTGGCTTTAAAGGTCCGTCCTTTCCCTTTGCCATTCGTATTCCCATTTTCCCTGCCTGCTGCACATATCTATGCTGTGGCATCGCCAATACACACGCATGTACACCGGGAAAAAAGAACTAAGCTAGGGATATCTATTGATTTTCACAGCTATATTTACATATTTCTGAATAAACAGATCAAGATTGATCAGTGTGGATAAATCTTTACCCTAGCTAGTTTGCATCTTGGAATAAAGTTTACAAAATAAAATTATTTTAAAATAATTGATCTTTTAAAATGAATAAAAACAAGAGAGAACGTTACTAGCTAAAGGCAGTGCGATGGAGATATAAATCTTTGATCGCGCATAACTTTTAAGCGAATGGTCCGATTTAAAAAAAGGCCTTCTACAATTCGATAGGTATTCATAAACACAATAAAACTGCATTTATACTTCTCCGAAATAATTATATATTATAATTATATTTATAGTTTTTTAAGATCCATAAGCTAACTAATGGGGATTATTATAAGATTCTTAAAAAAGTTTAACTACGTTTTTTCCCAAGTGTAAATACTTTTTATCCTCGCTCTCCATTCATTTTCTTTTTGGTAATTTGAGACCGTCAGTTGTCGTAACCGTTAGCGCTGTTGTTGTCCTGGTCGTGGACATTCGAGTCGCCGCTGGCTTTGTTCTTGCTCGTCGGTCTCCTGTTCTTGGCCAGAACTGCTTGGCCGGTTTCTATTTCGCTCTCGAAATGTTTTTGCTTATCTGCCAGGAGAGAGTGCCCTACTGTTAAGTGGGGTCTTAAAGACTGACTGTGGCATATGTCACAGGTTGATATGGGATACCCTCAGGTACAATGGGCCAATAGATTCGAGCGAGGTTTTATTGAAAAGAAGATACTGTTTGCCCGAAAACTGTGACACTTTCACTTGGCGGCCATTTTCCAATGGCCATCTGTCAGCATCCTTACCAATTTCAACCCCCTTGGGTTTTCGGGCCAGAAGCCTTTGACAATTAGATGCAATTACTTTCATAAATTTTCGTTATCGAATGTTTTGCATTTGATGAAAGGGCGGATGGGAACCCATCCTAATGAGTTTCCGGCTCTTTTGGCACATCATCGCGATAAGGCGACGAGCTCTTCCCCAGGGAGTCTTTTTCGGAAGCCCTCGAATTTGATACAATTGTTAGAGCATTATCCTGTCATCGATAAACAGTTTCCCTTTTCGCGCTGGGGCGTCTCATTTACTATGCAAACACCACTCGCAACTCCACCGCCAAAAATTGCTCCCTGGGGGGGTGGGTTTTTCAATGGCGCATTTTGATTTTCTCCGAGTGGAAAGCCAATGACCCTGGGGCCACAGACGCACCCCGAAAATCAAGGGTACGAGTCAGACGGCGGGGCAAACAATATTTTGGCCAATGGCCCGATGAATACTGGTTAACTAAATTAAGTCGAATAACATGTGAGTTGTACATAAATGATGTCTTTTGTTTTCTTGTCCAATTTTACAATAGCTTAATTGTGTTCGTGTTGTTTCTGTTTGTTTTGGTTTTGGTTTCGAATGTTTTGGAATTGCAGCTTACCCTAACTGGCATAAGGCGCCTCAAGGATTTGGCAGTCTGAAAGAGATAGAGAGAGAAAGAAAGAAAGAGAGAGAGAACCGCTGGCAGTTCAAACTTGTTTTGTTTTCTTTCGATTTGTAGCCAAAAATTGTACTAATTCCTATACCAAAACATCTACAAAACTTGAGAGGGGGGATCGGCGGCACTTGAGGAAATTCAATTTCCATCATCTAATGGAGCCATTAAAACTAATTAGCCAAGAGAGCTAGAGAGCCAAGCTTCGTATTTCGGAATAGGGACTGAAATCGAAATCGAAATCGGAGCAGGGGGATGGTTGTTGGTTTTTGGTTCTTGGTTCCTTCTGAGCGAGTGCATGTTGTATAAATAAATTTAATTGGTACAAATTATGTATGCATATGTCGGTTGTGCAGTATATTTTCTTTTTGATAATTGCAGCGGCAGCAGAAACAGAAAACGGAAAAAAGAAGCGAAAGCGATCTCAACCTCGACTCGGGATTGGAATTGGAATTGAGATTCGGGCAGCAGCGCAGCATTTCTCTTTTAATTGGCAGGGCGGCGAGGAGGGGGGTTTGAAAGGGGGACCTCTACTGCGGCATCACTCCGAGGCCATTCCGCCCCCACGGCACGGATCATAAATGTACAGGCATCCGTCTATGAGCATCTGGATCCATTAAGGTCAGTCGTCGCTCATTCATCGCCTCCTCGCCTGTGTAATGGATCTTGTCGCATATCAAATAACGCGCCTTGGCATCGCATTGAATTCTTAAATTAAATTTAATTGAATTCGATGATGCTGCGAGTGAGTACGGCGAGTGTTCCTAGACAGAGTTCAGCCGGCAGTTGAGCAGTTGACAACCCGAGCTGTCCACACCCCCACTCGGCCAACTGCAATTGCATCAGTCAAAGGTTAAAAATTAAAATTAATAAAACGCGCAAGACGTTGACGCACGACAGGAAGTGGGGGGTCAGTCAATCGCAGGAGGTCAGCTCTTTCCTCGGACCCGCACATGGTCAGTGGTATTTCTTTTTTAGATACAATTGCTTTACGTAATTTAATTTCAGCTGAAATTTTACTTGAGAATTTATAAAAAAAAACCAGCTCTGCTCTGCTTATCTCAATTAGCTTCTTGATACTTTACTGGAATTAGCGGGGCATTGGATATGCGATATCAGCTCACTTAAAACTCTCTCTCTCCAGATCTCGGTAATTTGCCAAGCAAAACCACAGGCCGTAAGCCGCAAGCCAAGACACAGCCAACCTATATTTATCTAACCCATGAGCATGTAATGAGAAGTGCAGGCATAATGAGAAAGGAAGGCCAGTTTTGGCTTAAGAAGATTTGGATACCCTTTAAAAGGTTATTTTTCTCAGTTTTAATAGAAATAGAGTTATTAAAAAAATATATAAATAAATATAAATCATATTCTTCCAAAAAAAAGTAAAATAAGTAGGAAATGTTATAGGAAATTGACACATTCTTTAGCTCAAGTACTTCAAAATAATAAAGTTTTTATCTATGTATCTCCCCGGTTCATCAATTCTAAAAGTTAACTTTAATCCTTCGCTTTAACGGCAATAAATTTACATAAGTAACCAAAGATTACTTTCCGCCCCTACGTTTTTATGACGACCAAATGGACCCACCCTCATGTACATATTCCGAACTCTATATGCGGCCGGAAATGTTTTTTTCTCTGAAAGTGGCAAACTTCTGGGCAAAGTCACAATACCCTAAAGCAAGGGTGCAAATGAGCAATCCGAATCCCCCTTCTCGTTTTAATTTTTCGCTCTACGCTCTGTTTAGTCCATCGCGACTTGAAAAGGTTGTGTTTTCTGTGTGGATGCAACTACTTCCCTGAGACCCAGGTTCAGAGACACCTGCTGCAATAATTACACTCGTCTAGCCCAGACTCTATTGTCGCACGCTTTCTTTTTACTTGGAAATATTTTTGCTCAGCATGTATTTTGGGGAGTTAAATGCGAAGCAGGCTAGAAAATTAAGCAGGGGCTAGGATTAGTTCATTCGAAAAGGGTTTACAACTAATACCTCTACCTTAAAAAAGAATAGAGGCGAGTTAATTTTAAAGGTTGCGGCTAAATCGACAACTACATTTTTGTAAAATATGATATACTTTTCAGAATTATTATATAGTTCTTAAATTCTGTTATTTTTTCTGGTGTACAATTGCTAACCCTTCTGCTGGCTAAAACCCCCGACTGTGGGTTCATTACACATGTTGTTCTTGTTATTTCAGCCGCGTACCTTTGTTGGCTTCTGACTTTTTTACACTTTAATGTGTTTTTCTATGTGCTTTCTGTGTGAGTTGGCCTGTGAAGGTGTAAAAAGGCAAAACTAGATATAAAACTGTTATGCTCAGTGGACGTCAACGGCCGGCGTGTTTTTTTTTTCGGTTTTGTGGGGAGAGTCCAGGCTGCCGACTTCTGCTTAATTTATGTGGCTTTTCATTTTTACATAACATACTCCGCCATGCATACGAAATGCTGCCAAGTGGAGTTTAGCGGTCGGCTGGACTTTCCGCCAGGGATTTCGGATCTCAGGCAGCATCATCGATTTTGCGCAGCCCCAACAACAAGTGAGCTGGCTAAAGGTCAAGGACAATGCTGCCGGGATATACATAGCTACCTGTGCCCAAATGCGGGTGCCTCAGCCATCTGTCCGTCCCTCTTGCGCAGGCTCCTTTTCCGCCTCGCCCTCGCCCCCTCCCCCTCACACACTCTGTCAAGGCTTTTCCTTTCAAGGCCACTGAAATGTGGCGACTCTGCTCGGGGGATGGCACAATTACAGCCGAACTTTGATAAATTGGGACTATAAATTGCCACGGTAAGCACTTATATGGCATGACTATGAAGGTCTAACGAAAATTGATTTATTTTATTTGATAAGGTTTTTCCCAAACCTTTGGGACAATATTTTCTAAAAGTTCCGTATAATGGTACGATTTTAATAGAAAATACATTTTCAAAATCGTATAAAACGACCAAAAGCTTGAGTTCTCTATCTTAACAGACTATTTGTGGTCTCTGAATAGGAATAATTAACTTAATCTGCTCAAATAAACCAAAAAGGTTAAAGGGGCTAATAGTTTTATGTTGATAGTAAAAATTCTAGCGAGGAAATGTCATAGAAACCGATAGGAATTACTCTGTCTTCAAGATTCGAATAATAAGTAATGGGTTCTACATTTTTGAAATTGGTTTCTTTTTATAATAGTTTTATGATCCTAACAAGACTGATTTTTTACCACATACAAATATATAGAAAGATAGAAGTAATCTAGCAACTCAGCGACTAGCATTATTTAGTAAGCCCAGTGGAAATTCGTCATAGGCAGTGCCGACTGTACCCAAAAGGTAAGAAAGTGGGGGCGGTGGGTGGTGCCTGGGGGGGCTTACTCGCCTACAAGTGTTTCGTTTATTATTCTTGGCATTACTTGCACCAACTGTTTCTGCTGCTACCGCTTTCTGCTACTACTTTCTTCCAATTCTAGCACCTCTTTCTCCTCCTCCTCCACTTCATCTCCTTGTTCCTCCTTCTCCACCTTCTGACTCACCTGAGAGAGTTCCGAGTCATCGCGCAATTTGTCCGCCAAATCGGCGGCGGCTGCGTTTGCGGCGCAGAGCAGCGCCAAAAGCAGCGCTGCGGCGTTCATTTCAACAACAACACTTGTTTATGGGGGACTCTGCTGGCAGTGTATGTTGTGTGTGTGTGTGTTTTTGCGGGGCCCGTGTGCGAGTGTGAGTGCTGCTCTACGATTAAGAATCTGCAATTCAAAGGCAAACAACAGTTAGCCGACAAGCAAAAAGTATTCCGCGAAAAGAAAATATTAATTCACAGATATCATTTTCTGCAGTGCTTGGCTTTTTCGCTCGCCTTGTTTTCGCAAGGTTATCTGCGCTTCCTGTTCTGCAGGCCGAGTACCGTTATGTCACATATAGAACGGCAAGCGAAAAACGGACCACCGAGGAATCGGCAAGCACAACACAGATCTGCTAGAACTAAAGCTGCGCTTATTGTGAATTATTTTTTCTCAATTCCGCTGTGTGTTTAAATATTATGCGCATTCCCATTCCGCTGCTGCGGCACTTTTTTCCTTTGAATAGTTTCTTTCTTTTTCAGCTTTTTTTTCTTTCTGTGGTTTTTGTTCTGCGAAATTCTTGGAAAGTCGGGCTGCAGAAATTAACGAGCGCCACAGAAATTATGCAATGTAGGTGTAGACTTTAAATAGCACACAAACGAACGCAGCGCGGTGGTAAATCAATAACAAGACCAGCGAAACGGCTTGCACCTATGTATTCGGGAGTTATATCGTATGCACAGTATAGATTTTTCACTATTCAGGGGGGAGTATGTACCAGTCGGAGGAATCGAACCGTGCACCACGCTCAAACGTTTTTTTCGAATTGAAAAGTTGAAACGAACAAGAACAGGTTTAAGCGGAGCAGTGTGCCCGCAGAATTATGGTTTAAGAAAAATACCTAAAATACCACTTTGGTTTATTGATAAATACCAAAATATTTCAACAAGTCACGGGTTTGAACACGAATTCTATCGATAGTTTTACTGCAAGAGAGTGGAAGGTATTGAGTTTAAATATGAAAATCAGTTACTTTATTTATTTTAGTTAAAAGCTTTCCCTTTTTTAATTAATTTATTCAGCATTTTCAGCATCCTCAGCATCCATTTTCTTTTTCATATAAATATGATATCTCAGTTGAACGCAGAACGCAAGCACGGAACCAGCTACACAAAAATTTATTACCGTTTTATAATCTCAGATGACTTGTTCGTAACTTACTCAGCGTAAAAAAACAAGCGTTACTCCCACCGCCAGATAAGGCCAAAACCGGAAGCGAATTTAAAAAGAAGTAAAGGAAGATAAGGAGACTTAAAGCTAACCATACTAATGAATATCGCAGCAAAAGTCCAATGTATTTCTGGCAATTGAAACAGAATTTATATTCAACCGAAGTGTGATATTTTAATAATTACCTTTTTCTTATAGATTATGTAAATGGGTGGCATCAGAAGTAGCGCCCACAAAACTAAAATGCCGAATGTAATCACAAGTTTATAAAATTGGCGTTGTCCTAGAAGAGAGGTTAAAATCAGTCATAGACCTGAGATTGAATACGAACATTAAAATACCTATTTGGTAAGGTGCAATTACGATCGGAATGAACGCTGCAATCACACCGAGGAATACCATGGCGCTTTTTCGTTGGGAATACTTTTTCTTGCACATCTCAACAATTTTAGGAATATTAACAATAAAAACTCTTGTGTGACAACGAAGTCATGGACTTCACCAGACATTTAAGCAAAAGATAAAATATAATCTTTTTTGATTCCGGATTCAGTGAACAAAAACCTTTTAATTAAGTTTAAAATAGATGCCAGGCGATTGCATAATAAACTCCCAAATCAATTTAGTTTTCTGTGTTTAGGTTTCCCCATTATTTGCATTTTATTTTACAATTATTCTCTAAATTTAATAAATTCTCCCATGAAGAAAAGCGGGTATTACTTAAAAGCTTACTTTTTTGAGTGCATTTAAAAATAAAAATCAAAAAAATAATTTTAACAGACTCCACAAGATAATAGCTGCAATGACACAAAGTATGCTCATCAGGGTATAGTGTAGGATCTTCAACCTAGTTGGTAAAGAGAGGATCAATTGTTGGAAAGGTGTCAATATTATCAGTTATTACTTACCGCTGATATAGGCGTCGGCCCTGCTCGATGGATTCTTTGGTTTGAGGTTCCTTTCCCAGGTAAAGTCGCATGCCAAATAGGGCTTTCTGGAAGTACGTCTTCCAGTCCAAAGCCTCCATATCGAAGTTGTATATTAGCTGATCCTTCGGAGACATCAAGGCCCTCAACCGTTCTGTGCTCTTCGTTTCAAAGTGCCAACTGTTGTGCATAAAGTGCTGCAGAACCGCGATGTTAGCATGTATATTTCGGTAGAGCTTCACCAGACGAGGTTTCCTTCCCGAAAGTCTTAAAGCCAAATCAAAGAAAAATCCGGGTAAAGTGTGATAAAAGAACGCGACTAGCGGATAAAGCCACGTTGTGGAGACGCAGTGCACGAAGGGGTACCAGATCATCTTGGTCAAGGGGAACTCAGATCGCTGGCTTAAAGAGAACTTTATAAAGTTCGTGGCGTTTAATAGGTTATTTTCACTGGGCGCCAGGGTGTAGATAGCGGGCTGTAATCTCGAATCTCTTGGGATTCTTTCCTTAGCTGTTTGCCAAATACTGGCCACAGCCACATTCGCACAATAATCCACGGGCACCAAGCTGGCATAGGCGTTTTTATCGTAGGTCACCAGACGCAGTACACCATGACCCACGCCATAAATGAGAGCAATGGGTCCGTAGAGATTTTCTATCCATCCGCATACAGGTTCCTTGTGGGTGGCAATTACTAGGAGGGAATATCAAGAGTTTATAAAGATGGATAGAAATTCTATCTAATTTACTTACTAACAGAAGGTCGGAAGATACTCAGGGGAAGGTCTCCGGCTTCCCGCAGGATCACATCCTCCGCCAGGGCTTTGGTGTAGGTATAAGTATTAGGAAAGGATCCCAGAAGAGTGGGCGTCAGATTATCCATCATTTGGTCACTCAGCAGCTCGCTCATGGCCAGAACCTTCTCCGAATCGCAGGTCAGGTGCTCGGGATAGAATTTCTCCTCGATTCGAAATATCACGCAGTTGGAAAACGCCGTTGAGATGTGCAAATAGGCCTCCAGGTGTACCATCTCCTTGGCCAGTCGGAGCATGAGTCTTGTGGCCCGTGTGTTGATGGCCAGAGCGATATGGAGTGGCTCATTGAAACGCACGGTGGCTGCTCCATGGATGACTATCTGCACCTCGGAGGTTAGAAGCTGGCGATCCGCCTTACTAATGCCCAGGTCGAACTCCAAACAATCGCCTGCGATGATGGAGATGCGCTTCAGTGCCTCTGGCTTCTCCTGCAGCAGCACTTCAAAAAGCTTGGGGAAGGTATAAAAATATATAAATCCTTGGTTCCGAGCTCTCGTTACTCTTAACTCACCGGTTCCATTTGCCACAGGGCAATGCGTTCCTGAATATCCTGACCCCGTTTCGGTCTGATCATTGAATAAATACGTTTTACATCCGTAGTTCGCAAGAGTTTTTCAATTATTACTAAAGAATGGGAAGAAAAGAAAAAAGGTTATTATGTTGAATTAAATATAATCTATCCTATGTTGAATACCTTTTCCCAAAAATCCTGTGGCGCCTGTCAGAAACACCACCTTATCCTTATAATATCCTTGAATCCCGCTGTCCATTTCGGGACTTGATAGTTTGTTTTTCGGTGTCATTCCTAAAGAATTCTGCCCAAGCCTGCAAGTTGGAAACAAGAACTTCAATAGGAAATCAATTGGGTATGGTCGCGCCTTTTATATATGCTGCTCCGTTAGACGCAGAGTCTTTGTACAGTGACCCGGCCAATCGTATGCAAAATTAACCCGAATACACCAGTGCCTAATGAATAGTCACAGCTACGGTTGGATTGCATTTCTCGGCTGTTGAAAAGTGTTAATCCATTTGATAACTATACTTCCATCAGTGCTAGCATGTTTTTATTTAAATTTATGTTTACAACTTTTAATATAAACCTGGAAGAGACGCGAAGAGGTTAATTTATACTTTATGACAATCTACACCTCGTACACCTGGGGACTTCGATCTTTCTCACAGATGCCCAAATCGGATGCACTGCATTCTCCTGCGATGGAGCAGATTTGCTTCAAAGCATCTGCATATATGGTATACGGCTAGGAATATACGAATACGGATTAGCTGAAAAACCCATGCCAATAGCTTACCGAACTTTTACTTCAATGGGCCATGCGGTCTTCTGTTTGCTTCTTATTATTGTATATATGGGCTTTACGTCCGTTGATCTAACAGTGTTTCTACTATGGCTTCAATATGAAATCATAGATATTTATCCGTAACCAATCAAGTAATCCCTGCAAAAATCCGCTACATCCTGTAAGAAGCACTGTCTTCTCGTTGTAAAATTCCTGCAGAGCTGTATCCTTTTGTGTCATTGAACCAATCGTAAATAGATCGATTTATATGCTCGTGCATGATTTACATTTCTATTTAATTCACAAAGGAACAAATAGAGGCAACAAATCGTGCATGGTATTTAAATAAATCATTGTTGCTGTAACTTCTGTTAATTTACTTGTTAAATATATTTTAGAGCACACCTTTAGGCAGAGCTTTTAAAATCAAATTTTACATATAAAAAGAATAAAGAAGAAAAGCTACTACAAATCTTTAAATTGTTTTGTAATACTTCAAGGTAAAATCGTATGCTAAGCAGCTTTTTGAAGAATACAGAAATTAATCTGGTAGTATAATCCGGAAGGTATTTTAACAGAACTGAGCTCCAAGTTCTAAAAACCCGGTCAACGTAAATTGCATACCCATACACATTATATTTTGTTCTTGAATTCTTTTCCATCTATATTAAGAAAAATGGGTTAATTTTTATCTTTTTTATTTTTCCTCATTTTTTTTAAGGATAAAGGTTAAAACATCTCAGAACAAACATCTCTCGTAAACTATTACGACCTCCTTTCTGCTGAGTAAATTAAACTACAAGTTTGGCCAAGGACCACAGGGCGAAACCAGCTGCGGAGATCAGCGAGGATGTAAGTGCATAGTGAAGGATCTTCAGGCTGTGAAAAGGTATTGTCAACCCAACCGAATAGAAACATTGAATTTAAAAACTCACCGCATCCTCAACTTCAGACCCTTGGCAATGGATTCTGCGGTTGGCTGCTCCTTGCCAATATACAATCGCATTCCGTACATGGCGGACTTGAAGTAATCGCTCCAATCCAGGCGGGCCATGTCAAAGTCGAACAGATTGCGGTCCTCCTTGGACATCGATTGCCTCAGTTCCATCGTGTTGGACGAGTCAAACTTCCAAGTGGTGCTGGAGAAGGGACCCAGGACAGCGATGTTCTTGTGAATCTTCCGATAGAGCTTCACGAGCAGGGGTTTTCTGCCTGAGAGCCGTAGTATTGCATCAAAGAAATATCCCGGCAGGGTGTGAAAGAAAAAGGCAGCCAGGGGGAAGAGGGATGGGTTGGAGATGCACAGGACAAAGGGATACCACAGCATCTTGGTCAGCGGAATGACGTCGCGGTACACAACGGATAATTTGATGAATTCGCGATTGGTCACCAGGTTTTTCTCGCTGGGGGCCAAAGTGTAAATCGGGGGCCTCTTGACTTTTCCACTTTCGACAGATTTCTCCGCCGTTTTCCAGGCGCAGGCCAATGCCACATTGACACAATAATCAGCTGGCACTAAATTGATCTTGGCCTCGGGATCCGCAGTGGTCACCCTCATTACGCCGCGGGCTGCGCCAAAGCAGAGGGCCAAGGGTCCGTACAAATTGTCCACCCACCCATTTAGTGGCTCCTTGTAGGTGGACATTACTGGATGGAATATTCAAGTTGCAGCTTTTGAAGGTTAATCCCATTCGTGGTAAAGCACTTACTAATCGCCGGTCGGAAGATGGACAGGGGCAGGTTGCCCGCCTCCCTCAAGATCACATCCTCGGCCAGGGCCTTGGTGTAGGTGTATGTGTTGGGAAAGGATCCCAGCAGGGCAGGTGTCATTTTGTCCAGGGTTTCGTTGTTCACCAGATCACCCAGGGCCAGAACCTTATCCGAACTGCAGTTCAAGTGCTCCGGATAGAAGCGCTCCGCAATGTCGGTCACCACGCAGTTGGAGTAGGCGGTGGACACGTGGACGTAGGAGACCAGCTGGGTCATCTGCTTGGCCAGCTGAAGCATCAATCGGGTGGCCCGGACATTGATGGCCACGGCCAAGTGCAAGGCCTCGTCGAACCGCACGGTGGCAGCTCCATGGATCACAACGTGCACCTCGGCGGCCAGGATCTTTCGATCCGATTCGCTTATCCCGAGATCCGGAGCCAGGCAATCACCAGCGATGGGGCAGACGCGCTGCAGGGCATCTGGTTTGGTTCGCAGGAGCACCTCGAAAACCTTTGAAATCAGAAAGGGATTTGTGACCCATCTATGCTTCCTGGGACAAACTATCACTCACCGGGTCCTTTTCCCAGATCGAAATACGCTCTTGGATGGGCACTCCCTTCTTGGGTCTAATCAGCGAATATATCCGATTTACCTCCGTAGTCCTCAGTAGTTTCTCAGTTACCACTGAAAATCATAATCCATGAGTTCGTGATAATATTTCACCACACCATTGGGCTACCTTTTCCCAAAAATCCTGTCCCGCCCGTGAGGAAGACGGTCTTATTTTTGAAGAAGCCTTGTATTCCATTATCCATTTTATTCCGACTGAGGTACTTTGACGATTCGCGTGCTACTGAACTGAAAACTGATTCCAAACTAGCAGTTCTATTTATTCGGGAATCTATAAGTTACAGACACCCTAAAAAGGTCGAGTTCAGCATATTCAAGGCAGGCAATAGATACCCGCGTTAGGGAGGAGTGCGTGTTACGTTACGAATGAGTTCAAACACATCAATATAAAGTACAAATGGGTAATAATTTCAAAATAATAAAATGTACCATAATGATTTTAATAAGTTTTTTACGTGTTTTTTGGGATTTATACGTTATATCTACCATTGTTTTTGGGTACCTCCAACTGACAAGTGTTCTGATTTAATACAAATAAGCCGAGCTGCTTACACTATCGCTTAATTGAAATTAGATTATGAATTTCAGGAAGTGTAGAAAACAACTTAGCTTGATTGTATTACGGCATTCAGTTAAAAACCAATTCGAATACATTTATCATTTATGAGCAAGAATTAGCAATATAAGACACGCTTACGATAACTCGTCATTTTAAACAATTACGTCAATACTGTGTTGTACACGTGCTGGTTTTTTTCATAGGTGCAGCATATGTAAAGCTATTTATTACCTTTCATATTTATATCCATTTTATATTATAGCCAAGTTATTTAATAACCAATTCATTAACTCTTGTTAAGATCAAGTTTTAGCAAAAAGATATAATGGAAATAAAAATAGAATCTTTGGCACTAAAAATAAAACAATTTTTTTTAAGTAGGTGTGGATGTATTTGTATAGTGGCTCATTCATTGTAAGTGTAATGTATGTATGTTTCCAATTTACAGTATGAGCTTGACCAGCGAATATACAGCTAATACGGCCACACAACAGAGGAGGAACTGTATGATATGGTGGAGCAGCTTTAAGCTATAACGAGACTATATATAATACTTTGTTCCATGAAGTTCTTAATGGTAATTACCGCTTGATCAGTTTCATTCCTTCAGCTATGGACTCCGGAGTGGGCGCCTCGTTTCCGAGAAACTGCCTCATGCCTCGAAGGGCCTGAAGGAAGTATTCAGTCCAGTTGAGGCTGATCATATCGAAGTAGTATATCCTTCGATCCTCCTCGGACATGAGCTGCCTCAAGTTATCCGTGTTGCCCATGTCGAAGTGCCAGCTTTTGCAGGCAAAGGGCCCCAGGATACCCAGGTTCTTGTGTATCTTCTGGTAGATCTTAACCAGTCTCGGTTTCCGACCACTCAGCCAAAGGGCCAGGTCAAAGAAGTAGGCGGGCAGGGTGTGATAGAAGAAGGCGGCCAGCGGATAAAGCCACTGCGATGTGATGCAGTGGAGGAAGGGATACCAAATCATTGAGGTGAGAGGACAATAGGTGCGTCCATCGAGGGCGTGTTGAATGAACTCCCCATGGGTGAGTTTATTTTCCTCCTTCGGCGCCAATTGGTAGATGGTAGGACTAGGACTCTCCGCTGACTTCTTTCCACTACCCTCCTCGATGGTTTTCCAAGTGCATGCCAGCGTCATATTGGCACAATAGTCCACGGGCACCAGACTCGCCTTTGCCTTATGATCGATGGTGGCAATGCGGAGAACTCCTCGAGCGACCCCGAAAAGAATGGCCATCGGTCCGTACATGTTGTCAATCCAGCCGGAGATGGGCTCCTTATGAGCCGCAATGACTGGATAATGGAAAACCATTTCCTTAAAAAAAGTAAGACAATTAAGACAAGGAAAGATCACTCACTGACTGCTGGTCGAAAGATGCAGACAGGCAAGCCAACCGCTTCCCTCAAGATCACATCCTCGGCCAAAGCTTTGGTATAGGTGTATGTGTTGGGGAAGGATCCCAACAGGGCGCCTTCCATGTTGTCCAGCAACTCGTCACTCATCAGTTCAATCATGGCCAGAACCTTATCGGAAGTGCAGTTCAGATGCTCGGGATAGAATCTCTCCTTGATATCATAGATGATGCAGTTGGAAAAGGCTGTGGAGATATGTACGAACGCCTCTAGCTGTCTCATCTCCCTGGCCAATTGAATCATCAGCCTGGTGGCCCTTGTGTTGATGGCCAAGGCCACATGGAGTGGTTCATTGAATCTCACCGTGGCCGCTCCATGGATGATAATCTGCACCTCGGAGGCAAGAAGCTTTCGATCGTTCTCGCTGATTCCCAAATCGGATTCGAGGCAATCTCCAGCAATGGGCCAAACCCTTTGAAGGGCCTCTGGTTTGGACTTCAGCAACAGTCCAAAAACCTTTTTTTAAATTCGTTAGTGAGTTATTTCGGATTTATGGAAACTCTTAACTTACCGCGTCCTTTGACCATGTGATAATCCGCTCCTTAATCTCAATTCCCCGCTTTGGTCTGATCAATACATATATTCGTTTCACCTCCGTGGTTCGCAATAGCTTTTCAATTATCACTTAAATATTGTAAGCAAACCAAAAGACGAATTCCTATTAGTGTGAATTATAGCAACTTTATTTTCTTTAAACTATTACCTTTTCCCAAAAAGCCCGTGGCTCCAGTTAGGAAAACAGTTTTGCTGCGGAAACATCTCTGAATATCGGTATCCATTTCACCATATAACAACAAAAGTAGTGTTTACACTTCGATGTGGCGGCAGAGAGTCCAAACCGTTGACTTCGTGTTTAACTAGGAACAGCTTTAATGTAAATCACCTTGAATTCACTGCGGATATTTATACAAAATTCGTGTTCGTTCGGTGAACTGCAGACCCAGGGCTGGTACTTTCGAATAATACTATAGTACTTACTTACGAATTTAGTTTTCAAATTTAATTTAAATTGAAACAAGGGCTCGGAAAAGTCAGAGGAGTGTATATTTGCCTTAAAAAATTGTCTAATTTCATTTTATTCTTGCATCCCTGCTGTATTCCCTTATAAATGAATTAGCATATTCCTATAAATCGAGTTTGGGTGATTTGCCAACCAAATGGGCTCTAAAGAAGGTCTAGGTACGGCTTGTTAATAAATTTATAAAATTCAAACCATTACTTGTTTAAGTACTGTATGGTTGCCAGTGTAATTATTACTGTAATTGGCACCAACAGCATGGGGTTTGATAATTTTTTCGCTGACCTAAGTCTATTACATGAGCGTTGAGCACTTACTTTATTACAGTCATCACTTCTTGTACCTCGTAATATATTTTTTCTTTGCGTAAAAAAACTTAAAATTTGAGAAAAAATCAGGGACCGATAATAGCAGTTATTTTATACTTTTTTAAGTGAGTGCAGATATTTATTATCTTTTCCAATTTGTTTAATTATGAGTTTAAATAGCATTTTCTTTGTTTTCCGAATTCGCTAATTAAACAGTTAAAAAATAGAATTTTTAAAATACTGTCTTAGTCTAGTCTTACAAATAATTGTAAAATTCGGTGGCACAGAAATTTCTTTGAGTGATTAAATATTAAAATTAAATATTAAATACATGATCTGCTATAATTCATATCTTTACCGTTATATCCATCATTTATGTTATTTTCAAAATGTAATATTTTTTAAAAACAATCGTCTATAGGGGGATTCCCTAAACTGTTGAATTGCTGAATTGTTGAAAATTCAACAAAAAATTTCAGCAATTAAGGGAACGACCCAAAATGGTTCCTGTTGAATTTTCAAACAGCTGTTATTTGTTGAAAAATTTCACGAAACTTTAAGCACGTAAAATTTGATTTATTATTGCTAGTTACTGTCTAAAAGTGTTACCGAGGTAAAAAGAACCACAAATATGCTTTCTAAGTTGATTTTAAAATAAATAATGCGTACTGGTGATACTAAAATGTTACAGAGTTGCCACGACTTTTAAAAAAAGGTGACAACTCTGGCTTTTCAGCAATTCAACAAAATTTTCATCAGCCCCGAGGCTGTTGAATTGCTGAAATTTCTGAAAGTTGACTTTGTATGGAACAGCTGATTAACAGCTGACCAAAATTCAACAATTCAGCAATTCAACAGTTTAGGGAATCCCCCTTATTTTTTTTTTAAATAATCTAGCTATTTTTGGCTACTTATTCTGGCACGTTGTGCTATAAATGACGAGGTCTGGCAACACTGGCAGCAATAGTTTGACACGCTCTCATCTCTACTGCGAAGCACAAACAGCTGTCTTGTTGTATAATTTTGATGTGAGGAAATGGCCTGCGCCAGAAAATTGCTTTTCCGCGTTTTCCTGAATAACTCCTTGACGGCGAACCGTACCATCACCATGTCCGCCGCCCGCCGTGCCGAGCAGGCCATCGAGAAGCTGAAGGAGGACAATCCCTACTACGCCAAGTACGCGGGCAAGATAGCCAAGTTGCAGCAGACGTCGGCTGAGGAGTTCCTGGATCGCGTGGAGCGCGTGGTGAATCCCATCAAGGATGGCCAGAGCCAGGCCAGGTGAGATCCAAGTTGGCATTAGAAGAACCCTTTGTCCAAAACCCAAACAATTCCAGGTCCTACTCGGAGCTGCTCAACCCGAAGCAGAAATTGCAGGCCGAGCAGGCGGCTGAGCTGCCCCACAAGAAGCTCACCGACATCATGAAGCTGGAGCTGATTGCCGACAAGAGCGCCGAGGAGGTCTCGCAGATCTGGCTGGAGTACCACAAGACCAAGGAGGTCCTGGCCGCCACTCTGACCACTTCGCAGTTCGAGAGCCTCATGTCGCGGGCCAAGGAGCACCCGGTCTTCTTGCTGCCGCTGCCCCGCAGCGAGGGCTTCGAGCTGTTCGTGCTGCAGTTTGCCGCCAACACCGTGCACTTCACTCCGCTGCTGGCCTACCAGGTGCATCACGAGAACGCGCCCGAGTGCCTCACCCTGGTCCACTACACCGAGGTCCAGGACAAGGGAGTGGTCCTGATGCGCGGCGAGTACGACACCAAGGTCCTAACCGCCCAGGAGGCCCAGTGCCTGGCCAACGAGCTGCAGATGTTCTACCTGAAGCCCGACGAAAGCAAGCTGAGCCTGCTGAACACCTTCACGCGCAAACCGGATGAATTCAAGCACATGGATCTGATCAAGGAAGTGGAGAACATTCAGCTGGTCTAGGCTCTGCGAATGTAGTCAGAAATAAACGAAGCAGGCACGACACCGACACAACAAAAACGATAAATTCTTTGTCCTCACAAAAACACAGGAGATGGAGCACTTTGATTTTGTCATGGAGGAGATTGGTAAATGCTCTAAAGTCTACAAAGGATTTGCAAGCACAGGATTTCGCCCACAGGTTTTGGGCGGGTCCATTTGTTTGCCACCCTGACGCTGGGTCTTCTGCAGATGCTGACCATGCAGGAGACCATGGGCATGGGCACCATCGGACCAGCCTCTGTCTGTGATCTGCACATGAACCAGGCGCAGTTGGCCTCGCTGACGGCGGCCGGCTTCATGGGCATCATTTGCTCCTCCTACTTCTGGGGCTACATCACCGACAAAAAAGGTCGGCGTTGGACCTTGTTGCGAACCATTCTTGTGAGCAATTTGTGTTCCCTCGTTTCCATGTTCTCGGTTAGCTCAACTGGCTTCTTTGTGTTGCGCTTCGTGACGTGTATTTTGTGAGTATCTTGGGTAAACTAAACGAGTTGACAGATTTATCCTCCGATCAGTGTGGCCGGTCCTAGTTTCGTGGCAGCGACCTATCTGAGTGAGTTCTGCTCGCAACGAATCCTTGTGCGTACCGTCACCCACATGTACATGTTCTCTGGCTTCGCCATGATCTCCTGCCCTGCGTGGGCCACGCTCTTTCTGAACCAGAATCTCATGGATTTTGAGGTGCCATTGGTGGGCGAACTGACGCTGAGACCCTGGCGTGTACTGGGCCTGGTCTACATCCTGCCGGGAATGGTGGCCTTTTTCCTACTTCTCCACCTGCCGGAGAGTCCCAAGTTCCTGCTCATGATTGGCGATACACAGAGGGGACTGGCGACCATGGAATGGATATCCCAGAAGAACACTGGACACGGTCTAAGCGACGAACAGTTGGAGCACTTGCGCGCCTACGAAGATCATGTCCGTGTGAAGCGGCGGAAGAGGAGAAGTAGCGTCCTGCGCTCGATGCTCGACGATGCGATGCCCCTCTTCCGGAAACCCTTCATCGGCTACTTCCTCTGCGTCTGCTTTGTTATGTTCGTCCTAGGGATGCTGTGAGTGTGCTGGGTTTCTCGAGGATTCCCCTTTACTTAGTCGAAAAACCCGCAGGGCAAATGGCCTGGGCATTTGGTTTACTGCCATGAGGAATCGCGCCAATATGCGACAGGGCAACACGCAGGGCATGACCTTCTGCAGGCTACTATTTGTTCCCGAAACGGGTCCTTTTATGGAAACTGAGGCTGACTTCGAGGCGGTAAGTTCGGGAATCCTGTTTAAGGCATCAAATTTCTTTTTTCCCTTGTCTAGGTCTGCGACGACTCCTTTCTGGGCTTCAAGAACTCCTTTGTCCTGGGAGCTGTGTATATCGTGCTGTACAACCTTTGCTGGTTGTCTCTCTTCTGCGTGCACAAGAAAGTGATGTTTGTCTTCTCCTTGGTGGCCGCCTCTACATTTGGTTTCCTGCTAATCGTTGTCATCAATCCCATGATGCAACTCTTTTCCTTGGTGTTCCTGATCGCTTTTCCGGGCGTTACAATTGGTCTGCTGGGTGGTGCCCTCCTGCGCTTTGTGCCCACCTACATTCGCGCCAAGGCTCTGTGCATCAGCCTGATGTGGTGCCGCTGTGGTGCAGCGGTTGGAGCTATCTTGGTCGGTTCCTACATCCAGGACAATTGCGAGATTTTCCTGCTGGCCATCGCCATTCTACCCTTGAGTACAATACTTTCAAATTGATTTTTAAAATTTTTTTACACATTCCCAATTATTTTCCCACAGTTGCCGCTTGTATGGAGGGATACTTGCCATTGTAATTGCGGTGCTTTTATTTTTATAAAATAAATCCTCATATTTAAATATTTAATTCGTATGTCCTACGTATCCAAAGTATACTAAAATAGATTTTCCTAAATTCCCATCTTATTATTCAAGTAAAATACAGGCCCAAAGGTAGGCAAGAAGAACAAGACTTTGGTTGTATATAAATTAACTTTCTGTAGTATACTTAATGTATCAAATTAAATACTTTGACATTTGGAGTAGCTAGCATTAACTAGGAATTTGGACCACCAAACACATTTTGTGAGCTCCCAGTAATATGAATTATTTTAACTACTTATCAAAGTGAAAATAAAGCAGAAATCCTATAGGTTGCCACGATTTTTTAAAATAAATACAGTAATCAATCGGTCAAAGAATAAAGCCAAATTAAAAAACACCATTTGGTCATTGCAATTTTTAATTAAATTGTTGCATCTGGTTGACAACCTTTTTTTGGATATTTAATTTATTCAACAAACATCAAGACTAGAGTAAATACTTAATTCTGTAGCTGCAACTACAAATTTTCTCCCAGCACGTTAAACTATTGCCCCGAAAATCAATCTAAACAAACAGGCGTATGCTAATAATTACAATCATGAGTTAGTGACGTTGCCGTGGTCGGGTAGGGTGGGTTTAATATACCTCCTCCTCATCCAAAGCGCGGACCTGCAGGATAAATCTATAATTTTCCGTCTGAAGTGAATTCTTCTCTGGTTACCAATTCTCCTCCGTTACTAGCACTTTTTCCCAGGTTAAAGTTGTCCATTTCGCGATTTCTTAGGATTTCCATTAGGGCTCCTCGCTTTCCGAATCGAACTCGGGCCCTGTCTCCGTAGTAGGTGTCCAGATCCTGCAGAAACTTATAGGCATCGGCCATGGTGTTAACATCGTTCTTGCGCGGAGGTCTGGAGTTCGAAGCCTCCACCCTGCAGCCGGCGGCCAGAAGAGCGAGGGCCACGCAGACAATCAGGATGCAACGCATTGTTTGACACATAGTTCTGCCAAATTAAAAGAATAAATTCTCTTGTAGGAAGGTTTTCTAAACAAAATATGTTATTTCGATTGAGCAGCGAAGTCAGTTTGTTTTTAACTCAATTTAAATGTGTAAATACAAAACCAACATTTTAACAAATATCTCACTATTTGCCAAAGTTAGGGAAGGTCGTCAAAAATTAGCAACCGCTAATGATTGTGTACATTTGATATATAACTATTTCTTGTGTAGCTTTATAACAAAATAATGCTTTTTTAAAAGAACTCATAAAAATTAAGTGTTTTGTAGAATACGTAAAGGTTACAATGTGTGCCTATAATTAGATGGTTTTTTTCCATTCATAATAATCGGTTACATGGTAGAGAAAACCTTAGAACTAAGTACCGATATTAAGTAATTTAGATCTCGTATCACTCGGGACCTATTTAGGGGTCTAGATCTTTGGAGGGCCTCACCTAATAGCGGGCAATCTGGTATGGTAATTTGTTAAATCTCGGTTAAATGATCACACAAGCTTACTGCCGTCATTTATGGTTCCTCAATGATTTTTGGGCGGGACTGACGCAAGTTGCTAATACTTGCGCCCAGCAAAAAAGCAAATAAAGCCGTTAATTACGAGTATTATAAGGCACTTAGCTTCTAGTTAGGCCCGACTTGACCCGAGCGAAAGGATGCAGCTGTGAATCATTGTTTTACGACCAGAATAGTTCTAGGAAAACGTATTTATTTACTAAACTTGCTTTTAATGAGAAATATGTGCTAAGCAGAACTATCTTAAGTGATTTATAGAAAAATGTACGTGGCGACAGTTCCGTTCTTAAACACTTACCTGATCCAAAGTGAGAATATGAGTATTTGGGAGCGCTAACGATATCACAATGCAATTGTTTGGCGGACTGTGTGTAATCAGCGGACGCGACCGTGAATAAATGTTGTCCAAAAGCCATTGGCAACAGGTATTTATAGGAGTCGTCGGCTGGAGGATGTGCCCGGCTTATCGTGGACGAGCCAACCCATCCCATCCAATCCCACCCCCAGCCAGATCCCGAGCAGAAGCGAACGGAAGTTGGCAGAACGATTCGAAACGAACACCGGGCGAAACCTCTAAAATGTTTTCATATGCAGGCTAATTATGTGGCTGCTGCCGTGCTTGAACTTTTGCAGCAGCTGGAACGGAAGAGCCACCGGGAGTGGGAATCCGAGTGGGTGGGCGGTATGCAAATGGGAACAGAGAATGGAGAATATGGAATAGAGAACGGAGATTGGCGGGCGCTAACAAATAGTGACAGTTGGCTAACGAGATATCTGGAAAATGGGGGGCTATCAGGAGCAGAATTACGCATAACTGAATAAATGACAAATTTTCGATAAGCAGGATTATAGTGCCGGCTCCTGCCCCACCTGAAATCAGTTCGGTTCGCTTTGGTTCTGTGATTTATGTGCTCACAGCTCACAGTTTAGCCTGCACTCCTCCTTCCGCCTTCGCTGGCGTCACAGTTGCGGCTCAGTATCATTAATTATAGTATTTTGATTATTGTTTAATAACTGTTGGCTTAGACGGCGACGCTGATTGCGATACGCGACCCGGCCGATGAGGTATTAAGTGTGCTCTGCTCGACTTCCCATTGCTGTTTAATTTGGGGTCAGGCGGTTAAGTTATTTCAATAGCGATTCAATAACCGCCGCACTGCTGTAATCTCCTTCCCAGTGGCTGCAGTGCGTATACGTAATATGCTTTCCCCCTGTCGAGATATGTATCACAACAACATGACATCACATTCACATCATGGAGCGGGTTCTATGGTTCTTCTGGAGGGTTATTAAGTTAATATTTGTTATAACCGTTCTGACTAATTAACGCTCTAGCCATTACTTATTTACTTGTTTTTTTTTTTTGTGTTTGTCTCCGTTCTCTGTACTCCTACTGTTGTTGTTGTGATTATCGCTCCAATTAAACTCGTTAGATATTCATTTGCGATGGGCGGTAGCGTTTCATATTTAAATCTAATTGCCATCCAACATCGTGGTTCCTCATTGTTCGCTCGGCTGAGAGTTTAGCTCCAGTTCCAGTTCCATTCCATTAGCGGCCGCCAATATAGAGCACTTGCCTTTTGCTAATACCTAATTGGAGCTATGATAGGCGATTACATGCTTCGGCTACTGGATACTGGCTACTGGGACGGCACTCCCCGTATGCTTACCTTGCGGTCGGACCGACATTCATTACAGCATCCGCAAATCGGACCATGTCTGGCCGAAGTCCCCTGAACTTTCCTGCACTTTTCATTATTGTTATAATTATTCATTATCATTAGTACACGTGAAAAAAAATACATTTAAGTATACACACATTTAATAGGGTGTCTGCATAATAAAACACTTGATTTCCCTAGGAAAATTAATATCCTTTTTAATGTCCTATCTAGAATATTTGTCGTAGGGCTGAAATTAACATTATTATTTTTTAAAAGTTTATACAACGAACTTTGTAAATAATTTTATTGAGGTTCCTAAAACTCGGTGTGTCAAAAAATATGCTTAAAATAAACTTCTACTCGCTTTCCTGACCTCGCGACGACAATAACCCTCATATTTGATCAAAATCTAAAAGGTCGACAGACACACAACAACAAATTAATTTTTATATCGTTCTGTAAATACAATTTTGGCTATTATTTTAGTTTTCCGTGACTCAGCCTACTATTGAGATGTTCTTTAAATGCTCAATGAGAGTGGAAATATTTTTAAATATGGTGTTTGAGAACTACAAATGAATCGTTTTTTTTAATACGACTTCCATCAGCTTGTTATACCCTTGCAGAGGGTATTATGATTTCAGTCAGAAGTTTGCAACGCAGTGAAGGAGACGTTTCCGACCCCATAAAGTATATATATTCTTGATCAGCATCACAAGACGAGTCGATCTAGCCATGTCCGTCTGTCCGTCTGTCCGTCCGTCTGTCCGTCTGTCCGTCTGTCCGTCTGTCTGTTTCTACGCAAACTAGTCTCTCAGTTTTTGAGCTATCGGGACGAAACTTTCGCAAAAGTCTTCTTTCTATTGCAGGTAGTATATATGTCGGAGCCGACCGGATCGGACAACTATATCTTATAGCTCCCATAGGAACAATCGGAAAAAAAAACTTTAAAAAATTCTAGCTTCGGTGTTTTTTGAAATATTACCTTTTACTTTTGGGGATGTTATTCTTTAAATATTTTTGAATTTCGAATAAATTATTTAAAAAATCGGACTACTATATCATATAGCTGCCATAGGAACGATCGGAAAATTAATGGAAAAGTAATAGGAAATAAATTCAAGCTTCTTTGCTTTTAATTGTATTATCTTCTACTCTAGGATATGACTCTTTTTAAATATTTCCGAATTTCAATTTTAATTTAATCAAAATCGGACGACTATATCATATAGCTGCCATAGGAACGATCGGAAAATTAATGAGAAATATTAGAAAATTGAACATTTTTGCGATTTGTTAATTAATAGGAATGATCTGCAAGGGTATATAAGCTTCGGCTGGCCGAAGCTAGCTTCCTTTCTTGTTTATTTTCCAAATCTTTGGTTGTAAAAAGGTTTCCATGACAAACTCTAATAAAACAATTAACGTTGTGAACAAATATTGGTCAATAAAATTTGACCTAGCGTACGAGTCGTATGGGTTATTTTTAGGTAAGGCTTCAGAGACATTTAACTAGTTTAAATATTCCTATTTATTCTAAGCCACAGCACATAATTATATTAATTGCGTTTAGAGCTTAACCTAAGCTGAAACTAAATAATCTTAATGTTGGCTTTAAGACTTTGCTACTTTTTCAGTGGATAGTTCGCCGGGGAAGCCCCTCAGCTGGTTCAAGGACATGCGTGCATGCAGTCGAGTGTTCCGCATTGAAAGCCAGTAGAGCTGGTCAAGTCGGGCTGCCTTTCGGTTTTTCCCAGCACCTCCTATATGCATCTCATTGTTCTGTCTGCTGGCTGCGACTTTGCAGGGCTTTTGTCACCTTCCATGTGCTAAATCGCCAACGTCATCGTGCCAGCCGATGCCTCAGACAATACTTGAGGCTGATGCGGCGCTGCAATTACGACAAAGTGCCTTGTTTTATACAGTTATAATTTTTAAGTTGCGGCCTGCGTTTTTCGGATTTCAGGCCCGGGCTTTCCCTCTTTCCCAGGCCCATTTCGTGTCAGCTTTGTGGTGGGCATAAAATATATACTTTTGCATGCCAGCCCCCAATTTCGGAGGAGAACCGTTTCGATAGCCCTGACGAGCTGTTTGCGTAGATGCTAATAATTCCGATTCGATGATCCGCTGCCCCTTCCCGGTCGCTTGAAACTACTTGGGGTAATTGAGCGTTTAATGTATGCGAAACAGTGTGTTTTTGAAGTGGAATTAGCAAATATATCGCTTGCTCACCGATCGGATCTGTTGGGGATACGATTTTCGGGGCTTTCCTCGCCTTGAGGATGGTCGCCCATTGGAAGATTCCCAATTAGACGGTCGCCAAACAATAGGCTTATTGGCGCCCCAATGATAATTGTACCTAAAAAATTTCGCAGCTTAATAACAAAGTTTGCATCTATTTGTGTGTGATCTTTTGTTTGGCTTTCTGAATCTGGCAAATATTGATCTACATCCAAGGGTTAGTCAGATCCGTGGTATTCCACGTGAATCCGCCACTTGGGCAGCGAAGGGTGGACGAGTGTGTAAAGGGTCAGTGGCTGAACGTCAGAGATAATTCTTGGTAACGAAAATAGATATGGTTTTCACCATTTTTAATTTGTTTTGCGCAGGTCTGGGTATTTCTAATTAAGATATTACAAGTAATTGGAGCGCAATAATTAAACGACTGTAAAATTAAGTTTATCGAATGTAAGTCGGTACTGGAAAACAATTGGTTGCTTAATCTTGTAATGTAAGTATTAATGTTTTCTTTAAAATCAAACTATATTGAATTTCTCAATTCAATTAATCTATCCACATGCTGGCAATAAAATCTTTATAGACCTTAGAGAATTCTTTTAGGCTTGCGGGCTCATAGAAGATTTCTTCACACCTTTTTTATGGGGTTCATGGATGTATGAGGTTGAATAAGAAACGGGTTTCTTTTTATTATATATTTATGGGCTATTTAAGTTTAAATTTATGATGCTGAGATGCCTAGTGGGTTATACTAAATATGTAATAGGTGAACAGACGTATAAAATAATCTGATTATGCAATCCTTTGGCCAAGGATTGGTTTAGCCCATCCAGGACTCATTATATCCCAGCAAAGAGCTTTTATTGGGGACACAACCTAGAACTCTTGGAACTTTCAGAGAAAGCATAAAAGCGTCCGTTCGAAAAATGGGACTTTGGGATGCCCCTTTGTGCGCCATAATTGTGGCCCGCGTTTGCCATAAACACAAACAACAATTAGCCGGGTAAAAACAGCCGCCCAGTGGCAAATTGCGGCTAACATGCCATATGGTAGTTAGGAGGTAGCAGCTCATTGTCTGTTCTATTCGGGATCAGATCACCTAAAGTCCGCGCAACCTCAAACAATGGCGGGTAATAAAAGCACACAAAATGGCTAATTCTCAGACAAATGTCTGGCGGGAAGAACAGGTGAAGATGATATTTAGTGACCCGAGTCTTAGGAACTACTTTGGATCGAAATAGGTCACACAATAGAATATATTCAGGCAGTAGCCCCAGTAACTGTTTTTAGTCAGCGTGATCGGATCAATCGCATGACCACTTCATAGATCTGTCATAAATATCGAGCTAAATAACCGACGGACAATTATCAGAACAGCCAGTTAATAGCTAATCGTTATTGGCTGCTAAGAATCAGAACTGGATGTAATTGCGTCAAGAAGTGGCTTTTAATTGCGGCAAAAACTTCATGCATATTTATGGCCGGGCCGCAAAAAGGGCACGGGCACGTGTGCGTGTCTGCTGTGCCCAAGATAGAGACCGCTGGATTAAATAGAGTCATTTGAGCCATTAAATTTATGAGAAGGCAATTGCGGGCTAAGCGATCCCCGTAGACAATGGCTAAGCCATCTAAATGTTGTTCTATCTAACCCAGGGGTTTTCGAGGGTTGGGTGTTCGCATTCGCATTTGTCTAGGGGGTTCATAGCCCCCGACCCAGTCCCATTCCCATTCCCATTGCCAGTGCCCAGAAACAGTGACTTAATGCTGGGGGTTTTCGTTTTGGCCAACGAGTGAGTGCGAGCGTGCGCGGTTTTAGCCGAGCGCGAAGCCCGAGCAGAGGCTTGAATGTGGACCGGTTGTGGAAAGGTTGAGATGCTAGTACTAGCTCACTAGCTATCTGCCAACTGCTAGCCGATCCGATCTCCGCCAGACACTCGGCACTCGATCGGTCGAGAGATCGGGGATCGGCCCAAGAGTCCATATAAAGGTCCCCGCTGCAGTCGAGATCGCCGCATTAAGTTGTCAAAATTTGTGAGAATAGGAAGTGCGTGACAGTTCAGTTCGATTCGAGACAAAGCAGCGAGGTTCTAGCCCAGCGAACATATAAACACTCAGAATCCGAATTAGAATCAGGCTATAGTTATTAGCTAAGGCCCAGATCGGATCACGTTGGAGCGGGACTCTCGGGTGGAAAATCGCCAGGAATCAGGCACTCGACCTATTAAAACGTATTAAACCCTATTAAACCGCATCGGATCAAAACAAATTAAGCTACTGCGGTTACCATGCAAATTCACCCGATCCTAATCGGAATTTCAATCACAATCACAATCCGTAACGCGACCGACCTGTTAATAGTTTAATTTGCGGTCATAAATAATAACACAAGAATTAATTGATTTTCGTCATAAATCAATAAATAACTAACCCACTAACCAGCCGTTCAATCAAGTGCAGCCCGTTGAAAAGGAAGGGGAAAAACGGAAAAACAAAACTAAAATCAGATCGCGCCGGAGCTAAATTTTTTTAGGTGCTGAAATGAAACTATTTACCAACCAAAACCAGCGCAATGCAAGTGAGTATCAAGTATAAAGTAAGCCCAGTCCAAAAAGGCAAAAGTGGCCAGTGCTTAATTAAGTCGGCGACCATTGTCCGCATTGGTCAAAGCCAAAGGCCCATAAAAGTTAATTCGACTTGGGGACCACCGTTTCCATTCCTCCAAGGGAGCTGCTGCACAACCCCCACGCGATCGTAAAAATGTCAACACAGATCTCTTGCACAAAACTGCTGAAATCGCCTAAAACAGGACCGCTAAAATCGCTGAAATGTGGAAGGAATGGTGCAATGGATTTTTAAACGCTCGTGCATGCTAATCAAGCCGATAAAAAACGGTTTCGAAATTTCTCATTCAAGTTCCCGGCGAAAATTAGAATGCTAATTACCAAATTACCGACAGCTGGCCGCACGCGTAAATATTTAGTTTTTATTTATTGCAAAAATGTAGCTGGGCACCAAAAATAGCCGACCAGTTCGCTGAGCTCGGGTTCTAAAGTCCAAAGATTTTTGGCAGCACGACAGCTATTAAACTAAAGCGATTTGAGCTGCGAAATAAGTAATTTAAAATCGTATCAATTAGTGCTTTCTAGTGTTATATCTCTGTTTTATTTTTTATCATTCGTCACCATCGCAGCTCTTGGCCAAAGCAGTTAACATATGTTCAAAGACGTTTAAAAAAAAAGGGGGCAGACTATCGGATCGGTCGATTTGCATAACAACAAATGAGCTGCCAAGGGCGAAGGGTTCTATACTTTGTAGGTCAGTTGTGTAGTAGGGTCACTTTAGATTAATTGTAACCAGCTTGTATTTGTACACACAAATGATTGTATACACGAGTACGATCTCCTGATCTCCAGATTTGGCAAAGTCATTCGGAAGCGTACGTGTATTTATGTGTATTAACGGATCTGGACCTGGTTAGTGCAATTAAGTTTGCATAAATTAAGATTTGAAATGAAATCGCTTGTGACTGAAAATGTCACGTATTACCTTACCATGAAGTTCGATGATTTCAATCAGCATAAATGCGCTGGGAAAACTGAAGGTGAACGCGATGATTGCCCAGCCCGGGTCAGATTGGCCCCTTGATATATGTAGATATGGCTCGACAAGATGCTGACAGATCCCCCGAATCCGCATGACTTGCAGAGATTACCTACCGATACTACCGATACCGAGAACAAACCCATAGATCCAACTAATTTGCCCCGCTGCGAGTGCGCCATAAATCAATATACGATCTACAGCTCAATGCCCGCTAAACAATGCAAATAACAGCTATTGTCCGGGCATTAGCAATAACAATATTATCGACAGTGTAAAGTATCCGTTTCAAAGGCGAACAAATCGGATCAGCATCGTTATACGTTATACGTTATTCGTTATGAGCATCATCATAGCCTATAGCCTGCGAATCGGGGAAGTTGTAAACTTGGCGAGCGACATATTTACTTTTCCTTATTGGCGGGCATCTAATTGCCGCGAGACTTTGACTGCGACTATTTAAGGGTTTTGGGTTTTTTTGGCCTGGCTTTTGGTGATGATTAAAAGCAAATAGCAACAGATCTGGGATTAATCACTAGCCAAACACAGGCAAACACAAACATCGTCATAACGGCCGACGACTATTAGCCAGTCAGTCAGCCAGTCAGCCAGTCGATCGGCACATGCTGCTAGAAAAACAAAAATGTAGTATTTGTATTAGTATCGGTGGATCTTGTGGATAACCGAGTACGAATCTCGGCGTCGCAGCTACAGCTATAGAGCTTTAGTTATGGCTATTTGCCTAATTTATTGTCGTTTGACGGAAGTCACACACACACACCTGTCAGCCGGCGAAGGTGTTCCGTCAGAAACAAAACAAATTCATTCTTGACTTCAGTGGGTCAGCATTTTGACTGGTCAAAAGCATATTTATAGTTATATTTTTTATTTAATTTTTTTTCCAGCATCTCGGTTTCAGCACACCGTGCACTTGGGTTAATTTTCAGGTTTTTATTAATGCTGGCCGGCGAATTGCGAACTGTGAATTGCACCGAACTTGAACTTCAGACCGCTGCAGAGGCAGAGCCCAGTCGTCGGTCGTCAGCCGTCAAGCTCATACTTAGTAACTGATATATCCGATCCGATCCCGACTACTGCCTTGCTGTTTTGCTGTTTTGCTGTCGCAAACAAGTTCACAGCTCACTGAATCAGCTGCTGCTGCTGCGATCGAGAGACAAGCGTCTTTCATTCATGATGCCGTGAGTCTGTGTGTCTTAAGAGTGTTTTGTATGTTTTGGCCCGCCAATCTTCAAATCTTTCTATCGTCATCGTCGATTTGGCTGCGGACTTTGCTTTGCCGGTGCAATTGTTGCGCAATTCGAGCTCCACTTTTTCGCCAGCCCGTGGAGATTTTCGTGTGGTTTTGCCACTTTGCGTGTCGATTTTGGCATTGGTCATTCCATTGCAGCAGAATAATTTTGGAGCGCTTTGTGTGCGGCCTAATTTATGGGTGGGCCCATGGTTCGGGAATTTCGGCTGTCACACTCAAGGCAAGGATATGCATGAGCATCTGAGATTACACAAAGAAAAAAATTTAGATATTTTGTATATAAAAATATTAAATATCTTCGATACACATTTTTTTACATTTTCTAAACTATGAGCATTTTAATTTTTAATCATTTTTAATCATTATATATTATTTTTTCAACAAATAATTAGAAAAGAGTCATCCTTTCAGCTAAAAATAAAATGATGTTCTAAGTTCTAAGTGGTAGTAAAGGGATTTTAGAATAGAGGAAGAACAAAAAACAAGATATTCAAAATACTATATTGACATATTGTTCTACTAAACTTTTCATGGAATCTACAGGAAAATCGATCAATACTTATGTTAGATCTTTGTACCAATATATTTAAAACAATTTCTCCCTGTGCACACTCGTAATTCCTATCAATGGAATAAATGTTTGGATTTCTGGTTTCATCGGCGCCACGCATAATTTGTCATGTATCATCGTTTGTTTTGATTGTGAAGTCTTGAACCTATTTATGACACCAAAGTTGACACCAAAGCGAAATTGTTAATGAGTTTATGCTGTTTGCTTTTCGATCTCCACCGCCGATCGCAGATGCTGTGGGATCGTGCCATTTTGGAGCGAGTTAGGGGCGTGCTAGGCGGCTCAGTTCAGTTCATTGATCTTGGCAGGTGTATCTGTATCTACACACAAAAAAAAAACTTGGTAAAATCAACTGTAATAATTGTCAAACAGGCCCCAACCAGCAAAATTGTCAATTCTACTAAGTAAATAGTCATTCCGCAACAACAAAATACACACAATTAGCAAAGACACAAACCCAAAGCAAAAACAAAATACACGTTACTATTTTAATAGTTACGTAACTATCTTTGTTGGTCAATTTTACCAAGCAAATTTTTTTGTGTGTAAGTATCCATGTATCCATGTCTATCGGTCGCCGCTTTCGGTTTCTACTTCCATGGAAAAACGCTTATTATTTGGGCCAACAATTGTGGGGGTTTTTCGGCTTTTGTTTTTATTGCGAGAACTCGCTAAACGATCTGTACCGATAAATGGGCCAAGATTGTGCGTTTTTGATTTATGAACGCCCCCAACTGAACGTGCTCTTCACGGTGCGGCCATGATCGCTGGAAATCGGCCAAAAAGGAGAATAGGGTGCGACCACGCTCTGGATTACCAGACCTCTGGCCAATTTCCGGCCAGATTTCGAGTGCGGAAGTGAATATCGCTTGGGCAAAGACAATAATCTTCGCGGAAGGTGAGAACAAACGAGTTTCGGTCGTAAAGTGAGTGATTTCACTTCAAGTAAATATGAGGCGAAGTGCAGCCTAGATTGATATGCTTCGATTGCCTTGCCCATCTTCCGTAATTTTAATTAATATTCCAAACAAGGTCAGTGAAACTGGATCTTAACGACTTTTCTAGGAGCGGCAATCTTATCCAATTGGTGTAAACAGAACACACAATCAGTCGCAATTCACTTTTCAGCCTAGTAAATTCCATTGCCTTAAAAAGAAATCAAGCCAACAAGTCGCAGTGACAGTGGGAAAATAACCTATTCCAAAATTTAAGGTGTAACCATAAATTAAACAAATACTTTTTGTTTATCTTTATGCTAAAAAGTCGGCGATTTTGCTAAAAACCAGTTGGCAGTAGGTGTTAGTAGCGTCTATAAACGAATAATATGGCTTTTAAATTTAGACAATATATTTAAATTGCCGGAAAAAATGTCTGAGCGCAAGGGCAGTTAACTAGAATTATGGGAATTTTTTTTGTTTTGAGTGCAGGCATCACCTTCCCCCGCTTTTGTGATTATAAAACCGAAGAACGTTCATTGAACCGCCACCGTTTTTGGGCATCGTCATCGTCTGCCGGCTGTCATCGTTTTGTTTATTAAATTTTGGCCTGGAGCTGCTGTTCCTTTCCTGCTCCTGCCATTGAGGTAGGTCGCAGATCTCGGCCGACCCGGTTCGCTTCGATCGGACGTGGGATCTCGGATCTCGGATCGAATCCGCCGCCAAGGTCAATGGCATGATGGGCATAATGGAGGGCGCACGCTATCGACAAACTGGAACCGCGGGAAACCAGTTCAACTTCAGCTGACGGCGCTCGCATGACCATAACTCACCCGGTGATCTATTTTATTGCAGAGCTGCTGCGCAGCGCTGCCCTCGGGATGACCCTGCTGTTCTTCGGGTCACTGGTGATCATCGCGGACCCACTTCAGAGCATCCTGGATACGGTAAGAATGAACTACTCAAATATAAGTATAGTAGTAATATCCGTTTGTTATTGTCGTATCAATTAGTAACTTTAATCACTTAATTGTAAGCGGTGTCGAGAAATAATAAAACTTGTATTTGTGCAACCAATCTGAATACTCACATTAAGATTAAATTTAATCCAACGCAAAATGCATGCTATAAATAGATATATAAGCTATTTTTAGGTATTCGGAACTAAAATGTAGATTAACTTACTTGGAAGATTTTTTTTTACCAAATTATTTTGTAAATTTTTTTTGTGTTACAATCAATCAAGTAAACTACTTAAAAATGCAAAATTAATACTGACCTTAGTATTCAACAGAAAATTCCAATTCAAGCTTTACAAACTTACAAAAGCAATTTCTGTAGGCCGACCTTTGTTATTCCATAGAAATTCTGTTGGTTCTATTAGATCAGTGATTCTGTATAAAGTCTAACAAATTAAAAAATACAATATTCGTAATATTTTGTCTTTCAGCAATTGAGCTTGAAGCCGGGGGCCCTGCTCCATCGCCTGTGGCTCCTGCCGCCGCTGGATGTTTACATTAATGTGTACATGTTTAACTACACCAATGTGGATGAGTTCACGGCGGGCAGGGCGACCAAGTTGCAGTTGCAGGAGGTGGGTCCCTATGTCTACAAGGAGGTGTTGAGCAACCACAACATCACCTACAACGAGTCCAACAACACCATCACCTATACGCCAAAGCGTGAGTATATCTTTGCGCCGGAACGATCGGTGGGTGATCCCAAGGTCGACCGCATCCGGGCGCCCAACATTCCGCTGATGGGAGTGACCACCCTGGCCTCCAGTCTGTCGATGTTCGCCGCCTTGGGGCTGAGTGCCATTACCAGGCAGCTGAACTCGCAGCCCATGCTGGAGATGAGTGTCCACGACTACATGTGGGGCTACGAGGATCACCTGGTGGAACTGGCTTCTCGTTTCGTGCCCAATTGGATTGACTTTACCAGCTTTGGAATTATGGAGAAGGTGGGTTTTGCTCTTCTCTTCCTTGAATTTTAAAAGATTATTAATATTTTATATTATCTTAAGCTCTTTCGGGAGGGAAACGAGAGCAATGTGTTCAACATGAACCTGCCGGAACCCAAGGACAAATATGGTGTAAGATTGCCGGATGCTCCTCGTGGTTACACCGTAGACAGTATAAATGGAGAGCGTGGCTTCAAGGGTTGGGAGTACAACAATGCCAACAAGTAAGTGCTAAGGGACCGTCTTTTGAGGTGAAAGAGTTACTATTTTATTCCTCCCTTAGTGGCACCATGTGCAATCGCATCTGGGGCAGTCACGATGCCACGCTCTTTCCGCTGGACATGGACGAGAACGACGAGTTCTTCCTGTACAGGCGAACCTTCTGCCGGCGATTGCCGGTGAAGTTCAATCGCACCACCTCATACAATGGCCTCGATGCCTACGAGTTCGTGATGGAGCCGGACTCCTTCGACAGCGAGGTGGACAACGCCAACTCCTCGTGCTACTGCAAGAACAATCGCTGCCTGAAGAAGGGAGTCGGCAGTGTGTCGCCCTGTTACTACAGTGAGTACTAATCACCTCTTTAATACAATAAACTTTTTAAATAACTAGAAATTTTACACTTTTCCAGACATTCCTCTAGCGATTACGTATCCGCATTTCATGCACGCCGATCCCAGTCTACTGGAGCCATTCGAAGGCCTCCAGCCGAATGAGACGCGTTTCACCTCCACCTTTGTGGTGCAACCGGTGAGTCGGAATCAAAAGTAATTCGGGGGAGCCCAATCTAATAGCAGTCCCCAAATTCCAGCAACTGGGAGCTCCCATGCAGGGCACCCACCTGCGGTTGCAGGCCAATCAGGTGGTGGGAAAGGTGAACTTTAACCGCATGATGACGCCCTTCGAGAACATGATCCTGCCGCTGCTGTGGGTGGACCTCAACATCGATGTCCTGTGCCTGAGCCTGCGCCTGCTCATCCATGGCATCAAGTGGGGCTTCCCGCTGCTGCAGTGGAGCGCCGCCTTGGGAATGCTGCTGGCCGGCGTTTACCAGCTGTGCAGCGCCCTGATGCTCTGCATCTGGCCACCCACCAAGCAGTTCCAGAAGGTGGATCAGGTTGAGCGAGGGGCCACCACGATTCAGGTGATCGGAGCTGGCCTCAGCTTGGCCAGCGGACTGCGGAAATCCTCTATTCAGCTGGATCCCGAGGAGCAGCACCACCTGCTCTTCGGCGGCGGCAGCTTCATACCCAAGTTGGCCAAGGCGTAAACCGAGCAGCTGAGGATCGGAATGCTTACCTCAACTCAAGAAGGGGCAACACTGTGATATTTAGGCTTAAGATTCGGTGTAAATTATTGTGCTCATCGGAAACAACTTAGGGAACGTCCTTGCCTACGTACTAGTTAACGATAACTATAAGCTAGGGCTAAAAATTAAGAGCGGTAACAGTAGGCAATTTACAGCTGAGCTTGCACTCGATAAATACAGGTCGATAGCTATCTAATTCTTGTGGTCCTCGCTTTGATTTTGATTCAGTGGGCGGCAATGGTGTCCTCGATCCACTTCATGTAGTACGAGGTGCGGGTGTAGACGTCCGGAAAGCCCTCCAGGGCACAGCCCGAGCCGAAGGAGGTGACCCCCACCAGGATCCAGGGTCCGTCGCGGCTCAGGCGGCACTGCAGCGGTCCGCCGGAGTCGCCCACGCAAGTGCCGCCCTCGCCGTTCAGCTTGCCGGCGCACAGGTGACCGCCGTGGATGTTCACGAAGCTGCCGTAGGCGTCCTTGCACCTGCAGAAAGGTAAGATCATAAAAAACCATTATTAGTGGATCATAGATTTCTTAGATTAATTGATCATTTTTTAGTAGAAATAAAATATTTATAATCGCTATTGAAGTTTTTGCACTGATAAAAAATAACATAGCAAAAGATTCGTATTACATATTTAAATGAAATAGAAAAAATTAATATTTAATACAAATCAAGATAATCAAGGTAGAAAATTTCATTTACTTGAAATATTTTACGGGTTTAAAAAAATAATTTCATATTTATTTAATATTATATCTTTGGACTTACTATTGTTTTATTAGTGTAAAAAAATGGTACGGAAAATCGTCTAGGATATCCATATTATCTTTAAGATTTGTGCTCTTCCATTACTAATTAATTTCTTATGAAATTGAGTAGTAAATTAACTCACCTGCCATTCTGATGCAGTGGCACCTGTGTTTTTAGCAGCTGATTGGAGAGATCACCACTGATATTGGCCTTGCCCCATCCCGTGGCCACGCAGTCCACAAAGGCCATTTCCTTTGGCTCCTCGCTGACTTTGAGATGCTTCTGCTCCACTGAATCCTCCAAATCCCTCCGAGGACCCAGCTTCATGAGCTTATCGTTCCGCCTTCGCGAACGTTTTAAACTGCGCGGGGAGCGTTGCGCCAGCGCTTGGCGCATCCTGCTGAGGATCTTCATGTTCATCAGCTCCTTCATGCTGGGCGCCGTGACATTCCGATAGCGCCGGCGGCTCTGGACGCTGCGCAGGAAGTTGTCGATCTTCTCGGGCACATCCTCCAGCTCCAGCTGCTGGATGAGCACATCCTCATCGGTGGGCGATGATGCTGGAGACACGTCTGCCGAAAGGATAGGATCCTGAGATTCGGCCAGCAGGAAGGGCAGGCAGATGCGCCTGATATTGGAGGCCCTGGCGAGATCCGCCGGCTTGGAGAGCTTCATCAGCACCACGTCGTGCCGGAAGTTGTGGTAGCGGTGGTGCATCACGATCTTCTCGACGGGAATGCGCTGCTCGTTGCCCGATTCCACATCGCGGTCGTGTTCGCCCAGCACCACCGTCCACAGCGGTGGAATGGGCAGGTTAAAGAGATCGCTGCAAAGGGTATTTCATACATTTATTACGCTTTGGAGTTGCAGTTCATGGACTTACTTGTGAACACAGTGGGCGGCGGAGAGTATCCAGTACTGGTGGATCAGCACCGCCCCGCACCAGTGGCCCAGGAATCCGAGCGACGGGTGCAGCAGCTCCAGGGAGGCCTGCCAGGGAAACTGACCCTCGTTCGTGGAAGCTCCAGCAATTATCCGCGGTCCTCGACGCGCTGGACGACAGCCACAGTCTGAAATATTTATTCGGTTGGTGATGATTAAGTAATTTATTTTATGATAATTTTAAAAACTGGAGTATTTGAATTTTTCTGAATTTTAATTAGGTGTCATTTCGCTGAATCAATTCATTTACATTTTCATTGATGATAAAGCCTTAAAATCATGATTAATACGTTTATTCCCTGACTCAAAGCAATAATTAAATTATGAGGTGTTGAAATACCAAATGCAATCGATCAATCTTGTTTATGATTTTTGATTCGTTTACGGGTTGTTTTTCCTATTTCAGCTTTACAAGCGTGAAAAAAACCGATGATATCAATTAAAGCAATAGGCTATTATTTTTAATGAATAAATAACAATCATCAAGTAGAATTCCCTTGTAAAACCTAATTTGGAAACTTAAATGTTTTTTTATAAAAAAGTAATGATGAGTTTTTAAACGAAATAAAATTTCTGTGGTAAATATTTCGATGTGATGATGCTAAGCAGAAGGAAGGCTCAGTTTTTAAAGATTATTAAAAGTCAGAAAATCTATTCGGTTGGAATATTATCAGATATTCCAGTAAAACGGAATAAAGTTACCCCAAATATGGCTGTGACTAAAATGATATAATTTATTATCCAATTTTAATTAGGGATTTATATTTTCCACTAATTTTAGACCTACCCGTCTCGAACTGTCTGGAAGAGGGCACCAGCAGCAGCAGAAGGCACACTGGGATCTGCCAGTGGCATTGCGAGTGTGACCGCGACTGTGACCGTGACAGTGACTGTGATTGTGATGGCTTCATCATCTTGGTGGCCGCTCCTCGGGCAGCTGGCTCAGCTGCTCATCGCGCGCATGACTGACCCACAGAGGCCGTTTACGGATCGTATCTCTATCTGTATCTGTATCTGCAGCTTTGTCCTGCTGCCGATGACCAGATGCTTTTCACTTTCACGCTGCCAGTCAAATGGGCGGTAGAGGGTTTTTATTTTTTTCCGGTGGGACTGTCTCGGGGATCGGGAACTGGGAACGGAGGCGGATCGCGCTTTTTTCCGGCCTTAAGTATTATAATTTACGAGGTCTCCCAGCTCCGCTTTTGCTTTTCTTTCCACGACCGCGCATTAATTAGTCCGCTGGCTGGGCGGCGACGACATGGCGAATTGTGCGCAGAAGCTGGAGTTTCGGTTTCGGATTTTTTTCTTGTCTTAACTTGGCCAGAAGCCCGGGTCTCCAGTTTCCACTCTCGATTATATAACGACTTTAGATGCTGGCTGGTGCCTGAGGGGCTCTACGATAATAACGGTCTCTTTGGCTGCTTTTCGTTTTCGATTTCGTTTAGCGCGCGTGCGCATGCGCGACGTTTCAGCGAAGTTTGGTGTTTTGACGGCTTTTGATTTGGCTTTCGGGCTTTTTTCGCTTTGGCGCCAGATGTGCGAGTGCGAATCGCTGGGGACGAGCGCCAAAATGCAACTGTGCTCTGCTCGGGTTTGCCAGCAAACATTTACCGTTTCGATGGCAGAGCGGCAGACGTTGACGTCGCCGTCGACTGCGATGTGGCATGCCCCCGCGCCACCAACAGAGCAATAGCAGCAACTACAACAAAAGCGGAGCCAAGCTAACGAAAGTGAAAAGACAGCGGGACGTTTGGGGGGCTATCAAAAGCCACATAGATGATGGCCAGCTGAGATGGCGATGGAGAAAAAAGGGTAAGTTGGCCCGGCTCAACCCACGGAAATCATTTACCGTGGAAAGTGGCAATACAAGAGAATAAATTAGGCAGCAAATAGTGATTATTTCGGTTTATTTGGTTTAATGTTTGGTTGTGCTTTGAATACCCCTGAAGATTTCATAACTTCAAGTTTATTTCCATATTCATCAGCATAATGATGAACGCTGAAATATTACTTTGTTTTGATATTTATTTCCTGATTAAGATTCAACTTTTTACTTCTTCAATGTCTTATCATTGATTTAAACTTTATAACGTTCTACTTTTGGGTTTTTGATTAATGTTTTTATTTTTAACTTAAATTAATCATGGAAAAGTTGATACGACATATCAAACATTAATTAAAACAAGAGAGAACGCTATAGTCGGGTGCCCCGACTATCAGATACCCGTTACTCAGCTAAAGGGAGTGCGAAAGAGATGGAGAAAAACTTTGATCCGCCGTACCTTTTTAACGAATGGTCCGATTTAAAAAATTTCTTCTACATTTCGATAGGTATTGATAAACACAATAAAACTGCATTATTACTTTTCCAAAATATTGAAATTTTTAAAATCGTATATAAGCGATTGTGGGCGTTAGAGGGGGCGTGGCACCCTTTTGAAACAAACTTGCGCTGCGTAGAAACTCCTAGAATCTGCATGCAAAATGTCAATCTTCTAGCTTTTATAGTTTCCGAGATCTCAGCGTTCATACAGACAGACAGACAGACAGACAGACAGACAGACAGACAGACAGACGGACAGACAGACGGACAGACGGACATGGCTAGATCGACTCGGCTAGTGATCCCGATCAAGAATATATATAGTTTATAGGGTCGGAAACGCTTCCTTCTACCTGTTACATACTTTTGCACGAATCTAATATACCCTTTTACTCTACGAGTAACGGGTATAAATAGTATTTTCCTTTAATTTGCTTAAATTATCATTTAGCACTTTAGCACTGATAAACTTCCCATAGTTATTTTGTAACTTTTTGATTACGATCGCCTGAATGGATAACAAATTAACCCCAAATGAAAAACAAGTGCTGATTGCATGCGAGCAGGGCATTGTAAATGCCAACTAAATGTAAAACTGTAGTAATTGCAAAATTGAGTCATACAAGTGGGTCATTACCATAATTATTTATTTATATCTATTTTCGATTTAGCATGCTTATACGGCGATTCTGCTGTGAGAAAACTATTGATGTCTGTGAACTCGATTTCGACATTAGAATAAGCTCGGCGGCTGTAAGCGATATATATGATATGATGATACGTCTAGTATAGTTAGATAAGATGTCGCAGCCATTTGATCTCACATTCGTGACGCTGCCCGAACGATTCCACCAATTATCTAATCTAATTTAAATGCGAACGGCTGCAAAGGTCCGTACAACATTGGATTGTCTCGTATGTTACATATCATAGAGGACCCCGTCCCGTTCGATCTGCTTTGCTACCCATTAATTGCCGCCCGAATGCCACTTTGTGTCATTGCGGCATTTGGAGTGCATTTTTTCCCTACTCCTAGCTGGTTATGTGTGCCATTTAAGTGAGTAATTAGCGGGCAGCTATTCAACGCCTGTTTCAATGTAAGATGTCAAGTGATTAGTTTAATTGCGATTAGTATTAAATATGCGCATAATTCCGGTCTGCCCCCAGTCGAGAGAGTGAATGATGTGGCGTGTGGCTGCCCGATCCGGTGGGCAAGTGAGTAGTGAGTGTCTGTATGTGAGTGCGAGTTACTTTCGTTTTCATTACGCGACGAAGGCAGCAGCAGCAATACTAGCAGAAACATCAGCAGCAGCAACAGCAGCAGCAGCAACAGCAGCGGCAGCAACTACAACGACTCGAATTCCGTGTTGATGCACAAACTCATAAGTCATGTTGCTTGTTGCTGCACCACAGCAACATACACAAAGCCAATGGGGAAGTTGTTAATGCAACACCAGCAACACAAACAACACAAACAACCACCAACAACTGCAACGGCTTGGGGAAGTTTTGTTTGTGCAGCCGATTGATCATTTAAGCCAAGAGACTCTGCCTGTCAATTTGTTGTGGTGGGCGTTGGCATTTGTTCGGCATTTGCCGTTGTTGTTCAATTAAGAGGCGCCTTTTGACGATGACGGACGAAGCTGCAGCACCCAAGCAACACCGAATACTTGTATCCACCGGATAATCAAAATCAGAAACTCGAAATCCCCAAATCGCTTGCCCAATCGAAGACAATTTGAAGAAAAGTTCCCCAGCTCGACGACTGTTTGTTTGGTTAGTTGGTTGGTTTTTTTGGTGGGAACTTTCCCGCCGTGTTGCGAAAATAATAATAACAATAATGGCTGTGTGCTTTGGCATTTAATTGAAATCGTAAAGCACTAAAGACAGTACAGACAGCAAAGCCAGTAAATATAAATAAGTTTTTACGCATGCCTCTGGCCGCCCGATGCGATGACAATCGACGGAAGCATTGCGGGTCAAGACGGCAACGTACCAATTGGTCAGGCCAGACAAACTGGGCACGTAGATCAGCTGGAGTCGGGAGAAATCGAAGTTCGGGACCTTGAATGCGCCGCAAGTGTGCAGGCGAGTGCAGGGGCTGCAATTTCTCTGCTGCAGTTGCCGCTTGTTATTCAATGGCAATTGCATCATCATCGCGGCAGCAGCAGCAGCAACATGTGCCCCTCCGATCGGCGGATGCTCTGCTAGAGTTCGAGAAACTCGACAATTAGACAAATGGTAGGCCGGACAACTTCACTGATCGATATCGGGCAGCATTTGCATGCCAGCAGCAGCGGCAGCAGCAGCAATACTAGCAGCAACATCGCCACAAACGGCAGCAACTACAATGCGGCGTGTCTTAAAGATGCGCGCATTACATTACCAACAACCAACGGGCGCTTTCCACCCGACTGGCGATCAGATGAAAACGAAAGTGCTTCAAGTGGTTAGCCAGCTGTTGCCGCTGTTGCTGTTGCTCCAACCAATGTTGCTGCTGCACAGCAGCAACTCGAGTCGCACGTTTCCAAGCTGATGCTGCTGCTCAAATTTATCTACTGCCTTGGCTGCTGTGTGTTTCCTGTATCTCCAAGTTTATGTTTGCTGCTCTTGTGTTGCTGTTGCATTTGTTGCTGTTGCCTTTGTGTTGCTGTGTTGCTGTTGCCACTGACAGTGGCAATGGCAAATTTCAATGGCAATGGCATGCCGCTTGCCACATGCATTTGCCGCCCATGCGAACTGTTTTGCTTGGCTTTTGTCAAACAAAGAGACTCTGCAGACAGGCAATTTGACTTTGTCGGTGCCCATATAATTAATTGTTTTATTGTTATTTCATCTCAAGTTGAGTAACTGCCAGGGGATACAGTTATCGACGTCTATATCAGTGGCGTTTTCGCCAGCGATTGCGTAACATAGAGATAGCTTGTGACAGTACCGAGGCTCAAGGGTAATTAGTTTGACAAACTTCTCAGGCAAATGTTGTTGTTTTCAGCTTCTGTTTCTGTCTAGGGTTAATGTACTTGTACTTGTCATACGGGTCTCACTTTGGCCACCCGACTGGAACCGAAAGTTCTCTAAAGATTTTTGTCTAATTCCGAGACCAGCTAGTTGTTTTTGCCTATATATGTAGGTACTTTAATATTGGTTTTTATGTTCCTAATATACACTTTATACTTTTTGGCTAATTACCACATTTATGGGGCTATTACGCTTTATAAGAAAAAGTATACTTTGTGTTATATATTTTAATATGATACTTAAATGAAAATTAACAAAAATAATACGTGAGCTTTGGCTTTTCATTTTAAGTAAATTTAAATAAAACAAGCTATAGATTGGGAAATAAAGTACATTTCTGTAAAACCACATTTTTTAAGTAATTAAGGAATGTCAATTAAAATTACATTTTATTACTTATTCCGTGTTTTTTTATATTAAATCGTTTTGCAATTTTATTTACTGCATGCAGGATATTAAAATGGTATACTTGTTGCAATATAAATAAAGTGTTTAGTAACTTACCATAAAAAAAATATTTATTGATCCTCTACGTCAGAGTATTTGCCTTTCGTTGAGCATAAACATTATTTTATGAGTTTGTGTTGTTCATACGAGCGCGTGTTCAAAGCGCAGGTAACTCAAACAATTAGTGGCT